CATCCCCACTCATCTTTAAAAGTTCTCCCCCTCTCTCTCTCTCCCTCTCTCACTCCTTCTCACTCTGTGGTTGAACCTCTACCTCTGCCGCCCCTCTCGACGGCTGACCCACCCCACTCTGCCACCACCCTCGGATACCCTCAAGAAGACGTAGCCATTGTGGAAGGTCCTAACCGATCAATGGAGCCAGCCACCTTCTGTGTTATTCCCTCTCCCTTCCCTCCCCTCCTCTTCCTCCCTTCCCCTACCCTCCCCTCCCCTTCCCCAACTCTCCTTCCTCTCCTCTCTGCTCCCTTTCCTCTCCTTTTCCCTTCACCACCATTTTGTTTGCTGCTCTGGCGGTCCTTGGTACCGGTCTCAGGTTCATAATAAAACATTATATCAGGAGGTAACAGCTAAAGTTGTCCCTTCCTCCCTTCCTCCCTTCCTCTTTTCTTCCCTTCCTTCCTTCTTCCATGCTTTCCTCCTCCCCTCCCTCTCTTTCTTTACCCCTTTTTTCCTCTCGTCCTCCCCTCCTTCCTCCCTTCCTCCATCCCTTCCTTTATTTCTCCCTCCTCTCTTCTCAAATTTTTCCTTTACCCTTCCCTCCCTTCCTCCTTCCATCCATCTCTCTTACCCTTCCTTCTCTTTATCCCTATTTTCCTCCATTCCTTCCTCCCTCTCTCCTTCTATCTCTCCCTCACTCCCTCCCTTCATCCTTCCCTCCCTCCTTCCTTCCCAGAATAACTAGAAGAAATTATTCCCAATACCAATACATTTTAAATCCAACCCACACACAGTCGTTCCTGCCCTCTCAGAATAATCGTCTGTGATCCTTCCTTCCTTCCTTCCTTCCTTCAATTAACAACCTGCAATTCCATATCACAGTTTAGGGTCTCTGATGTTAGATTAGTGTTAGGTTAGGTTAGGTTAGGTTAAGGTTCAGATTACCTGGTTTAAAGCGCACCTGAAGGTCATTAGTACAGGTGTAAATAATGGGACTGTCAGGTAGAGGAAGATTGAAGACCAGTTTACTTATTTGCAGAGAAAACCATGACACTCGGTAAATGGCCAGCTGGTAGGTGAGAGTGTTGGCCATGATTGAGTGTAGATGGCCAACAGCTCAAAGTGGGTTAGGTTAGGTTAGGTTAGGTTAGTCATGAAAATTGCACCTAATATAACGCTCAACACTCCATCAGACGTTTACAGGTATAATACAGGTAATGACGTGTGACTTTAGTAAGTAAGTGACCTTTAGTGACCTTTATTCTACCCCCTTGAGAGGTCACTGCTACATGCTGAGTGATGTTCCTTTGATTTACGTTTCCCTTCCTGCCTGCTCCCTGCCTCTTTCCCTACCTGCTCCCTCGCTCCCCCTCTCTGCCTGCTCCTGCCTCCCTCCCTGTCTGTTCCTGCCTGCTCCTGCCTCCCCCTGTCTGCTCCTGCCTCCCCTGTCTGCTCCCTGCCTCCCTCCTGTCTGTTCTCTCCTGCTCCCTCCCCCCGTCTGCTCCCTGCCTCCCCCCCTGTCTGCTCCCCTCCCCTCCTGTCTGCTCCTGCCTCCCCTCCCTGTCTGTTCCCTGCCTCCCCCCTGTCTGCTCCCTGCCTCCCTCCCTGTCTGTTCCCTCCCCTCCCTGTCTGTTCCCTGCCTCCCCCTGTCTGTTCCCTGCCTCCCTCCTGTCTGTCCCCTGCCTCCCTCCCTGTCTGTTTCCTGCCTCCCTCCCTGTCTGTTCCCTGCCTCCTCCCTGTCTGTTTCCCTGCCTCCTCCCTGTCTGTTCCTGCCTCTCTCCTGTCTGTTCCCTGCCTCCCCTGTCTGTTCCCTGCCTCCCCCTCTGTCTGTCCCCTGCCTCCCTCCCTGTCTGTTCCCTCCCTCTCTCTCTACCCTGCTCCTCGCTCCCCTCCCTGTCTGTTCCCTGCCTCCCTCCTGTCTGTTTCCCTGCCTCCTCCCTGTCTGTTCCTCCCTCCCCCCCCTGTCTGTCCCCTGCCTCCCTCCCTGTCTGTTCCTCCCTCTCTCTCCTACCTGCTCCCTGCTCCCCCCCTCCCCTGTCTGTTCCCTGCCTCCCTCCCTGTCTGTTCCCTGCCTCCCCCTGTCTGTTCCCTCCCTCTCTCCCCACCTGCTCCCTCCTCCCCCTCCCTGTCTGCCCTGCCTCCCTCCCTGTCTGTTCCCTGCCTCCCCCCTGTCTGTTCCTGCCTCCCCCCCTGTCTGTCCCATGCCTCCTCCCTGTCTGTTCCCTCCCTCTCTCCCTATCTGCTCCCTCGCTCCCCCCTCCCTGTCTGTTCCCTGCCTCCCTCCCTGTCTGTTCCCTGCCTCCCCCCTGTCTGTTCCCTGCCCCCCCCTGTCTGTCCCCTGCCTCCCTCCATGTCTGTTCCCTCCCTCTCTCCCTATCTGCTCCCCGCTCCCCCTCCCTGTCTGTTCCCTGCCTCCCCTCCCTGTCTGTTCCTGCCTCCCCTCCCTGTCTGTTCCCTGCCTCCCTCCCTGTCTGTTCCCTGCCTCCCCCCTGTCTGTCCCCTGCCTCCCCTCCCTGTCTGTTTCCCTCCCTCTCTCCCTATCTGCTCCCTCGCTCCCCTTCCCTGTCTGTTTCCCTGCCTCCCTCCCTGTCTGTTCCTGCCTCCTCCCTGTCTGTTCCCTGCTCCCCCTCTGTTCCTCCTCCCCCCCCTGTCTGTCCCCTGCCTCCCTCCCTGTCTGTTTCCCTCCTCTCTCCCTATCTGCTCCCTCGCTCCCCCCCCCCTGTCTGTTCCCTGCCTCCCCCCCTGTCTGTCCCCCCTCCCTCCCTGTCTGTTCCCTCCCTCTCTCCTATCTGCTCCCTCGCTCCCCCTCCCTGTCTGTTCCCTGCCTCCCTCCCTGTCTGTTCCCTGCCTCCCCTGTCTGTTCCTCCTCCCCCCCCTGTCTGTCCCCTGCCTCCCTCCCCTGTCTGTTCCCTCCCTCTCTCCCTATCTCCCTCGCTCCCCCTCCCTGTCTGTTCCTGCCTCCCTCCCTGTCTGTTCCCTGCCTCCTCCCTGTCTGCCCTCCCCTCTCTCTCTACCTGCTCCCTCGCTCCCCTCCCTGTCTGTTCCTGCCTCTCTCCCCTGTCTGTCCCTGCCTCCCCCCTGTCTGTTCCTGCCTCCCCCCTGTCTGTCCCCTGCCTCCCTCCCCGTCTGTTCCTCCCTCTCCCCTACCTGCTCCCTCGCTCCCCTCCCTGTCTGTTCCCCAGCCTCCTCCCTGTCTGTTCCCTGCTGCCTGCTCCCTGTCTGCTCCCTACCTCCTTCCTGTCTGTTCCCTACCTGCTCCTGCCTCCTCCCCCCCCGTCTGTTCCCTGCCTCCCCTCCCTGTCTGTTCCCTCCTCCCCCTTGTCTGTTTCCCTCCCCTCCTGTCTGTTCCCTGCCTCCCTCCTGTCTGTTCCCTGCCTCCCCTCCCTGTCTGTTCCCTGCCTCCCTCCCCGTCTGTTCCCTGCCTCCCCTCCCTGTCTGTTCCCTGCCTCCCCTTGTCTGTTCTGCCTCCCCCTGTCTGTCCCCTGCCTCCTCCCTCTGTTTCCTCCCTCTCTCCCTACCTGCTCCCCGCTCCCCTTCCCCTGCCTGCTCCTGCCTCCCTCCAACTCCAGTGTTTCAGGAGCAGGCAGGCAGGCAGGGAGGGAGGGAGGGCAGTTTTTGAGACACCTATATGAAATACTGGCGACAATTTTGCAGTGAGGTGGACGGCATTACGGATTTGCTTTAAGCTATTGGTAACATTGGTACTCATTAACAGGTCTCTTACCTTGGCACCTGGATCACCTTTACCTTGACTAATCATTCCCTGTTGCTCGCACTGGGATTAGATTTAGGAATTGATTTGACACTTTTTCTAGCTTGACACTCGGCTTTTTATCTTGAGGAATTGCCACCTCTGTTAGCTTGGCACTGGTGTATGTTAGCTTGGCACTGTGGTGTACGTTAGCTTGGCACTGCGGTGTACGTTAGCTTGGCACTGGAGTCTACGTTAGCTTAACTGTGGTGTACGTTAGCTTGACACTGTAGTGTACGTTAGCTTGGCACTGCGGTGTACGTTAGCTTGGCACTGGGATCCACGTTAGCTTGGCAGTGGAGTCTACGTTAGCTTGGTAATGTGGTGTACGTTAGCTTGGCACTGGGGTCCACGTTAAATAATACTAACCTTATTTATTTTGCAGGTAGAAGTATTTTTATCATGTTCCTAGAGATGATTTTATTTTGATGATCTGCCTTATCTTATAAATGCTCAGCTGCTACTCAGTGCCGACGACCCAAACAAACACAGGAGTGGTCCGTACAGTGCTGCAGCAGATTACATTCTCCTCTACCGGGTAACAAGACTCACCAAACCTCGTGCCACGTCATCTAAGTAATCAGACATTCAACCCACAAACAAGTTTTATTAACACCACCAGGCAGCAGCACTCATACACACGTTCATTCACGCAGCCATTCAATCATTCGTTCTCGTTCGCATTACATAAACAACATACAATAAAGTGCAAGAATGTCTGTGTTCTCTCTCTCTCTCTCTCTCTCTCTTTGTGTTTGTCTTGGGTGGGAGAGTTTATGTCATCTCTCTAATCTACATTAACTAACAGGTGTCCTCTCTCTCTCTCCCTCTCCCTCTCTCACAGCCTACGCGTCCATCAGGCGGACGTGCACGGAGGGTGCAGATCAACCTGTTTATGGTGGACCATGTGTGCATGATGGAAAGTAGCGGCCATGGTCACATGTGCTTCTGTGAGGAGGACTGGTGCAATGCAGCCCCATCTCCTGCGTTCCCCCCTCCCCTGGGCCTCCCTCCTCCCCCTGCTTTCCTTAATTCACGCTCTCCTTCTCCGCTCCAGATAAATTCCTCTCTCTCTCTCTCTCTCTCTCTCTCTCTCTCTCTCTCTCTCTTCTCTCCAGCTGATAGAAGTACTAGAGTCGCTTCCTCTACATCCTCTCTTCTCTCTCCTCAGTCTCCTCTCTCCCAATGCTGCCATTACCAGCATCTTAGTACTACAATGTTCTTTTTTAAATATTTTCTCTTCCCCATTTGAGTATCTATTTTATATCTCTTTTTTTTAGTTATTCTCAGTAGTTGCTTCTCTTTTTACACTTCTCTTTCTTCTCTTTTAGACGATCTTCTCGGAGAACCTTTTACTGCACGGCTTAATGTTCCCAGTGACTCTTGGAGGGTTCTGATACATCCTTTAGTACTGTTTCTCCTCTTCTATCATCACCTCTTCTTAGCTTTCTCCTCCCCTCGCACCCTCCCCCCTCACCCCCCTTTAGCTTGTGCGAATCTATTTTGCTTCATGTGTCTGGCTTTCACCATCTGTCGTTCTTTTTCTCGTTTTAATTAGAATGTTTTTAATTCTTGTCTTGGCTTTTATCCTCCTTGCTGGTTATGCTTTGATTGCTCCTGCTCCTGCTCCTGCCTCCCTGCTCCTGCTCCTGCTCCTGCTCCTGCTCATTCTCCTGCTAGCATCTACCTATCGTCCTCTTATTGTAACCTCCTGCGCTGCGTCGCGTAGTTGTACGTTGCTGCTCTGTTACTGTTGGTAGCGTTCGGCCTCACTATACTAAAAACCGTGCGCCGTTCCCCCTTCATTTGTTCCCTGAGATATGCACTGTCGCTCACTGCCTGCTATGGAGATTAGTTATCGTGTATCACTATAAACTCTCCCTGTTTCTCTCGCACATCTGTCGATTATTTTCCCATTCTAAATTATTGTTTTTCGCAACTTTTCGCTCATTTTTTGTCTTTTTTCTTTTTATTGGCCTCTTGCCTAATTTTTTTGAGAGGCGGTGTTGTACTCCTGTGAGCTTGGATGTTGAACCCACTGTAGACTGGGCCAAAATCCCTCCTGTCATGGAAGTAACGTGTGATTCTGAAACACTTTTGGAGCGACAAGTTGGTGAGGTTGAACTCCGCATCTTGTGCTTCTCTTGTTCATCGTATTGCTACGTCACTTTCCTCCGTCAAACTTCCACTAATCGCCTTAATTAATTTGGAGACTCGTTTCATTGGCTACCAGATTGCTTCTACCTCATCTTAACTCTTAAAAAAAATGGAGTAATTGGCCTTTTTGGATAGAGGAGTGAATGCGGGAGTCGAGAGAGTGAGGCGCCTGCTGACTTACCCTACACAGAGGACCAGTCTTCCATGACGGGCGGGGCTTTTCTCGAGTTGTAGAGGTAAACATGTGTTAATTTTAAGTCTTAGAGTCAATGTGTCACCGTGAACCACCTCGGACGTCTTAAGACTTAAGCATTGTTTATCAAGGCTTCTTCACCATAAGCAGCAGGAGATTTACCTTTCCATTTTGATGCACCTATCAGATTTTTGCCAGGGTGCTCTCCCCTAACTCACCCCGGGTCCTGATGACGATTGTGATAAAATATGTTGACGACTAGTGCATAATTCTTACGTTGTTATATTGCATTAGACAGTAGTACCGCGGGTTAAGGTCGGTAGCTGTTCAATTTTTTGACCGGCCGAACCCGCTTGTATTTATAGATGGTTATCACGCCCACTCGTTCCCCTGAAGCATTATACTGTAAACTGTTATTAATTATAAAAGTTAAGTACTTTTGTTATTGATTAGATACGGTTTATATTTTATTTTTTGTTATTAGTCTTTCCAAACCGTATTCTTACTTGATGATGTTGTTGATCTATACCGCCCCCATTACAGTACATCCTCTGCCTCTTTAACAAATATAACACTCCTCCTAATACTCATTAATACATATCCTAGCCCGTAGATAGTAAGGAGCCCAGTTTTACTATTGGTCAAAAAAAACTAATATCACTGACTGACTGTCCAATCACTTATCCCCATTTCCCATGACGTCAGTGAAATCTCGTCCAATCACTTGTCTCATTTTACCCATGAGTATCAGTCAATTACTCGTCCAGAGACATGAACCGCTAACTCTGACGCCTGTGGTTTGTTACCCTATGAGGACACCTTTATTTCAAGTTTTATCTTTGCTAACTCGGGAGAACTTTTCATGGGGCTGCAAACTGATCCTCTAAACAGGTACTAACAGGACGCACGACGCAGTCCTTTTCTAGTTACACGAGTTTCACTCATTACAAAAAGGTGTGAAGAAAGATGCAACGTGTGGCCAGGGGTGGGTACCTTCCACTATTCACTCATCGTCTAATCACAACAGGACAGTATTTGCAGCGGCTTTAGTACAGCTGGGAGCAAGGTAGGGACTCTCCAGCTGCCCAGTCATACAGTTAATAACGAGTCATTTCACCGATGACTTGGCTGTATCTGACCGCCTTAGTACAGTAGAGAGGAGAACTGACCTCACACCATAATACCTGATGCAATAGCTTTACCAAACTGAACCCGGGGAAGAAGAGGCCTATGTATAAACTCTTCTATACAAGTGAAGAGACAAAGGTTCTTATATGGTTGAGAAATGTTGCAGGTGCTCAGTAAAGCCAGGCTCCAAAAGGTATGAAAACCCGTGACACAAATAACTCCCGATTCAGCCGACAAGTGAGGTGTCGCACCTGACCCCACGTCGACTCACACGTCAAGATAACCACTCGTGTGGAAGAAATAGAATATCAAGTACAGTTAGCAGCTATAATAACTTTAAACGGCAAAACATTAAACGGTTTTAAATGTACTTGTAAATACACTGTCAGGAGCAGCCACACCCCAGCACCATTTGGGGCCTCGTCTGCCGCGCCACATCACCTGCAAGACCATACCACCTGTAGCAGCCACCACGCACCACCTGGGTCTCCACCTACACACTACTACTACTACTCCACGTCCTGCAACAGCTAGTCAGTCACCACTACTACCACCGTCTGTAGTACCAACCAGCTGTCTCTCGCCGCCACAACCTACACAGCTGACCTCACCTGGATCATCTCCACTCACCTGTCGTAACATACGCCATCTTCTCAAGGTATTTATCATCGTCCTCCTTGTGTATTATTGTCATTATTATCACATAAAGGAAGAGAAAACTGTAGCCACGTAACCTTACCCACTAGGACGTCATCTGTCCACACACACACACACACACACACACACACACACACACACACCCCACACACACACACACACACACACACACACACCCCACACACACACACATACACCCCCCACCACACACACACACACACACACACACACACCAATACTCACAACCGGTCACCATGGAATGTATTCATAAATATAATGACAGCTAACAGCATCGTAACAGTGATTCTTTGACATAACATAATAATTAATAAATACTCCATCTATACCTAACTAAATCTTAGGCACATACGGGGTGAGGTTAGGTTACTACAGAAGGTGATTAGAACAGCAGTTTCTTCATATGTTAAGCTTGTTGTGGTGTACCTATGTACCTGTGCCTGCCTGGGTATTGGGTGAATCACATGTTGTTGTTCCTTAGTGTGGTTACGTAACTAAGAGAGTGCTGCTGTTCCGTCGTTCCTGTTCATGTGGAAGTAACAATGTTGTGCTCCTGAATAAGACTCTTACTTATGCCCCTTTTACTCGTGGTGTTTGTATTATGTCCTTCTTGCACTGTTGTAAGTCTTTACCTGTGGTCATAAATCTTACCTGTAATCACCAGTCTTACCTGTAGCCACAAACCCATAAGTCTTTATCTGTGGTGTTACGAGTTGGGGATTTAGAATATAGTTAAAAGTCTACCCAGATCCCAACAGGCAACAACAACAAAAAAACAAAGACAATCGGACTATAAAAGGGTAGACAAAGGATGCGAGTTTTTTCTTGTGTATAATAAAGTACCATAAATCCCTTAACAAAATATTCAGCTTCCTATAATTTATCCTTAACCAAACTTAACCTAAACATTAACAGTATATACATATTTATACAACATACAATAATTTGAAGCAAGTGGACGTGGGGGAGACAATATAAGATTACAAATACTTAAGTGCGGAGCTGAGATGGCTGACGAGTAAGGCTGAGTATTGTGAAGACGGTAGGTAGTCACTGTGCCGTAGGTTTCAGGATAGGTGATCCTGTGGTCACTTCGAGTGTAGTGCTCTCTCCTCGAATTGGAGCTGACAAAGAAGACTTGTAGGAAGTGACGCAACAACCAGGATATGGAGAAGGAAACCCCGGGTGGTAACTAAGACGAGTCATACTCGTGTCTCGTCCCTAGATGGCGTTGCTCGTGGTGCTGGGTAGGTAGATCAGGACAATAGATGGCGTGGTTCGTAGTGCTGGGTAGGTAGATCATGACAATTGGTGGCGGGGTTCGTAACAGTGGCCATAAACCTTACCTGTAATCATCAGTCTTACCTGTAGCCATAAGTCCTAAGTCTTTGCATGTGGCCATAAGTCTTACCTGCAATCACCAGTCTTACCTGTGGCTATAAGACTTGCGGTATTCTTGCAGTTACCCTCCTTAATATATCAACCCCTTATTCCTCTTCATCGTGAGTCTTATTATTAATGGAACTCTTTGTAACTTTGGAAGCTATTGTTATCATTGTAAGAACTATTGTTATTCATATACTAAAACCCTTTAAATAATTTATCAATGGTGTCCCCTCGTTAGTATTATATATAAACAAATATACATAATCCTCATGTATATCATTTGTGCATGTATGTATGAGTTTACGTGTGTATGTATGGACGGTAAGTATGTCGGATATGATTACTAATGTTTTGTGTATTTGTAATTATTGAGGTTAATGATAAGTATTACTGTATTTTTATATTACTGTATTATATATTCTTGTATTGCTGTATTCCTTCTCTTTCTTCCTCCTGCATAAAGGCGTAACACAGGTGAGGAATTTTAAATGCTATTTCGTCATTTTTCATTCCCAATGCGGTTTTTGCTCACACCGATATAATATATTTTAAATGCGTTCCAGCTTAAATTCAACTTAATACAGTTTGAGAATAATATTATAGTACTTAAAAGAATTAAATATCAATCAGTAATCAATCAGTAATCCCAAGACAGACACCGTACACTTTCTTAGGGTGATATTCGTTTACAGTAACGTGAGGTAGTGAAACGTGGCAAGCGATGTCCGTAGAGTTTTGTAGCGTTTGGCGAGCCGGCGTGATAGCCTTGCTTCCTCCGCCTTCTTATTTCACCTTAAGATAAAACACCCTAGTATGAGATGTGGGATTTGGTTAGGTTATATTATGTTATTATGCGTTAGTTTAGGTTATGCTAAGTTAGGTTATGTTAAGTTAGGTTCGGTTAAAAGAAGTTAGGTTAGGTTAGAAAAAATGTAATTCAATCTATATTTCTCATATGTCGTCTATCTTTATTATATACTTGAAGATAAGTATTAAAGGTCATTATTTATCTTTTACCTTTAACCCTTTGACCTCTAGTTAATATTTTTTTTCTAATCAGTAACGTTTGACCTTTCATATTGTACCTGTTCATATTTTTACTCTACAGTCTTGCCTCTAAGCTCGTTTATATAACCTGATTTAATTATATTTTTAAATATAAATAAATAATACTCATGATTTACTTAACTGACATTTATATTTGCTTGTATTTAATGGCAGTTCATGAAGGATATTATTATTTAAGATCCCTACACAGAATACTGTACGTATCAGTGTTTTCAGACAACAGACAAGGTTTCCGTTGCTGATATGAAAACAAAAGGTCACAGATGTTTCATTTTTTCCTCTTTCTCAGTGACCTTTAACCTTGTATATAGGTCACCACCTTACATTACCTGCCCGTGAGCCGTGGTATATTGACTATGGCATTAAATTCTACATGAATATTGAGTATTTTCCGTCGTTTTATAATTTTATGCATTTATGAATGGTCATGAGACAAGGTAAATATTATTCTTTAGTGTTGATGTAAGAATTCCCCCGAAAATCTTTGAGTTAAGATATTATTGAAGAATTAGATCCGAAGATTAGATAGAAATTATATTGTAAAGCTGAAAGTTAAAGATATATTGTTAATTAGCAGCAGAGATAATTAAGGTAGAGATTTTCCTTAACCTCTTAAGTACGATGACTTAACCCCTTGAGTACAATGACTTAACCCCTTGAGTACGATGATTTAACCCCATGAGTACGATGACTTAACCTCTAATTACGATGATTTAACACCCATGAGTCATCGTATGCAAGGAGTTAATATATCGTTAATAATAATTTACCTATATATTAAATACATTTCATAATTTTATACTTATTAAAAATCCGGCTAAAAATTACAAAAATAAAGGCGTTTCTTAATTGTACAGGTGTTATGGCGGCAGTGATGGCTCAGATCACCACAAACATTACCCCAATTAGATAAATGCTCACAAATATTACACCTGCATATTCGTCTTCAACTTCCCCTTGTTATTTACGATCAATCAACGACCAATCTGTTCTATAAATACCTCCTGCTTTCTCTTCCTGCTGTCTCCTTCTGTCTGCTTCTATCTGTCTGCTTCTTCTCTGTTTCTGTCTGTCTCTGCTGTTTCCTACGCCCTCTTTCCTTCTCTTCCTCCTCTTCCTGATCCTCTTTGCTTCTGTCTGTTTCCTGTCTACTCCTGTCTGCTTCTGTCTGTCTTCTGCTCCTCATATTTATAGACAGGGGAAAATTAGGCAGTTCAGTTTGGGAGGGAGGACGGGTGGCAAGGAAGAGAAAATCAATATGAGTCACTCCGCATTGCTGCTGCGTCTGCGGGTGCCGGATGTCGCCAGACTGGCCTCGTGGCGGGAGGTCGGGCCTGGAGGTTGGGAAGAGAAGTCGGTGAGGGAGGTTGGGGAGGGAGTTCGGGCTGGGGATCTGGTGGGAGGTCGGGGGCATGGGTCAAGGGGAGGGGTGGGGGTGGGATAACCAGCTGTTAGTTGTTGGCAGATATTTATAATTAGTTGTTTAGTCTAGTAGCGTAAGTGTCTCTTGGGGTGACTATCAATACAAGGTGGAGGGTGAGAGTGGTGGAGGGTGATAGTGGTGGAGGGTGATAGTGGTGGAGGGTGATAGTGGTGGAGGGTGATAGTGGTGGAGGGTGATAGTGGTGGAGGTGATAGTGGTGGAGGGTGATAGTGGTGGAGGTGATAGTGGTGAGGGTGATAGTGGTGGGAGGTGGGGAGGTGATGTGGTGAGGTGATGGGAGGGTGAGTGGTGGGAGGTGATAGTGGTGGAGGGTGATAGTGGTGGGAGGGTGATAGTGGTGGAGGGTGATAGTGGTGGAGGGTGATAGTGGTGGAGGGTGATAATGGTGGAGGTGATAGTGGTGAGGGTGATAGTGGTGGAGGGTGATAGTGGTGGAGGTGATAGTGGTGGAGGGGATAGTGGTGGAGGGTGATAGTGGTGGAGGGTGATAGTGGTGGAGGGTGATAGTGGTGGAGGGTGATGGTGGAGGGTGATAGTGGTGGGGTGTGTGAGGTGTGGGGGGTGTGGTGGGTGATGGGTGAGGGTGGTGTGGTGGGGGTGATGTGGTGGAGGTGTGTGGTGGAGGGTGTGTGGTGGTGTGGTGGGGTGGTGGAGGTGATAGTGGTGGAGGTGATAGTGGTGGAGGGTGATAGTGGTGGAGGTGATAGTGGTGGAGGTGATAGGTGGAGGGTGATAGTGGTGGGGTGATAGTGGTGGAGGGTGATAGTGGTGGAGGGTGATAGTGGTGGAGGGTGATAGTGGTGGAGGGTGATAGTGGTGGAGGGTGATAGTGGTGGAGGGTGATAGTGGTGGAGGGTGATAGTGGTGGAGGGTGATAGTGGTGGGAGGGTGATAGTGGTGGAGGGTGATAGTGGTGGAGGGTGATAGTGGTGGAGGGTGATAGTGGTGGAGGGTGATAGTGGTGAGGGTGATAGTGGTGGAGGTGATATGGGAGGGTGATGGTGGTGGAGGGTGATAGTGGTGGAGGGTGATAGTGGTGGAGGGTGAGGGAGAATTTGGTTGACTGTTCGAGGGTAATCAAGGTTGGTTGATGTAATTGTGTGTACAAAACATACATACATATAATCACACACTCACACACACACACACACACACACACACACACACACACACACACACACACACACACACACATACACACACACACACACATGGGAAGGTTGGAAGCTCCCTAAAGTCTAAACTTCTAAGGGGAAAAACACAGGTATTGTTGGACAAGGTGGAGACTCCTCAGGTAAAGAGCCTCACCTGGACGGTCAATGACTCCTAAGTGGCGGGATAATACGTGGAGCCTGTATAATGAGTGAGACACTAGTTATGAGCCTCAGTTAAGTCTCCAGCAGCGGGGATAAACAGAATATTGATATTTTTCCTTCGTAATTTCCGAGAACGAGATCTAGTCGTCAAATCATCAATTATATTATTATTACCATTTAACTCAACCTGCTGGTCTCTGTGGTTAAATATAGACAGAAAATCCTCCACCAATCACTACATCAAGCTCAGAGTGTAGAGAAGACAGTACCACTACAGGATTATCATTTGGTGTAAACTCTGTCAGATGTTGACTCATTGTTTACACGTTTGACGGATCATCTGGGGGTTATTACGTAAACACACTGTTGTAAAAAGTATGTAATGTTTACTCTCAAAGTCAACAACTGTACCTATGGGGTTTAATCTTCCACAGTTGCTACTCATATTAAAGACACTTGTTCCACGCCATAGCTGTTTCACTTAGTATGTTTTGCCTCGCTGCTTCTCAATACCCATGCCAGAGTGTATCTATACTGTCCTGTTATACAATATACAGTATACTCTAACCACTGTCATCTAGCCAATAAGAACTAATACACAAAATTTCTGGTATCTATGTATTTGATAATTTGGTGGAATAAAAAATTAACCCCAAAATCGAATTAATCCTGAGTTCTGATATCGCCACTAAACGCGACCAAAGTTTCATAAAAGTCAATAATAAGAATTCTATCGTTGTTTTATTAAGGATAGGCCATAGAAACTAACATAGAGATTTAATTCATGCCCCACTAACTCGCTCATGTGTCAGGAATGAAGATAAATAGAAAGATTGAATTGATATAAAAAGACTGTTTCAAATATGTACCTTAGAAATGATTGGTCGTGAGGAATATACAATTGAGAAATATTGAGTAAGATTGTTTAATCTCTTGATTTTTAGTACGACAATTTAAACCCTTGAGTACGATGATTTAACCCCATAAGTACGACAATTTAAACCCTTGAGTACGATGATTTAACCCCATAAGTACGATGATTTAACCCCTTGAGTACGATGACTTAACCCTATAAGTACGATGACTTAACCCCTTGAGTACGATGACCTAACACCTTGATAACGATGAACTTATCCTCTTGAGTACGATGATTCTTAACCCCTAATTACTTCCAAGACAGCCAGCATACATAGGGCGGTATTTTAACGCGAGGTAGTGAAACGTGGCGCGCGATATCCGTAGACTTTTTTCGGTATTGACGAGACTGGGCGATATCTTGGCTCCACCTTCCCTTAAGATTAAACACCTTAGTAAAATATGTAGGATTAGGTTAGGTTACGTTAAATTAGGTTAGATTAAGATACGTTTGGTTAGATTGGGTTAAGTTAGGTTAGATTTGGCTTAGGTTTGGTTATGCTAGAATAAAGTATAAGAAAATAGGTCTTACGTCACTCTCGTAATGTCAGGGGATGTTTACTATTGTTACCATTCAACCAAGACAACTCCTGCGCTGCGCCATCAATGGGAGAGTTACGCCAACTTTACCCTAGGCGCCGCCATTTTGTAAACCCCACTCTGTAAACCTTCCTGTACATATACGCCGCTAGTTACTTAATCTCTCCTAGTATTAGTCTACCATCAACACACAACTCTATAACGTCATAACTTCATTTTTTAGTGAGTAAGTTAATTTTCTACGTTTTTCCTCAGAGTAGTGTTACCAGTCGCCATTTTGTAAACCTCTTGTTAGAACCGAGATGGCGCAACTCTCCTTTACCCCTTTTGCATTGTGGCCCCTCTAAGCTGAATAAAATTTTAATAGTGTCGTATCCCTTTGGTGAATATTTTATAATTTAATGTTCTCTTTTTGTGTGTTTATATATACATAAATATATGTATGTATGTTATATAGGTGTTTATATATGTGTTTATATGTAAAAATTTATAGCATCAATTAATTTTTATGTCACCTTATATACCTGTACTGTAATTAGGTACAATCCACGTGTATGAGGGAGTACCTGTGGTGTTTTGGGGCCTTACCACACGCACACCTAACCTAACCTAACCTAAGTAAACTTAACAATGTGAGCAGGGCCAATTAGTATATGTTATATCCACATACATCACATCCACATAAAACACAGCCACATACATCACATCCGCTATACACCACATCCACATACAAGACATCCATAATATACAAACTATCCACACACACACATCACATCCACACAAATCCACTATACACCCCCATCCAAACAAATCCAAATACAATACACCCACATACATCCACACATAAATCCACTATACACCCCATCCACACACATCCTCTATAACACATCCACACACACACACAACATCCAAACACACGTGGATTGTTACTTGAGCAGATTGTCCCCCTGTGATTGTATTTTATTTATCCTCTTGCAGGTGGTGAGAGGGGGTTATGTGTGGTTGTGAACGAGACTAGACGTTAAGTGTGTTCTCCTGTCATCACTGTGCTGGTTAAATGTAGACTAAGATTCCAATACTATTTCTCTATGTCTTTTAGAAGTCTTTTGTTTGTAATGTTTTCTTATGTTTTTTTGTGGGTTTGTTTTTGTATTATATATCTGTATGTTTTAATATTTTTATATATTTTTTTTTGAGGGGGGGGGGATTTTTCGGTAGTTTTTAATGGTATATCTGCATGTTTTAATACTTTAATATTTTGTACAGTTTTTGGAGGGGGAGTTGTTTGTTTTGAATAGTATTGATATAAATCTCTGCATGTCTTAAAAAATTTAATTTCTTTTTCGATTGTAGTGTTGTTGTGTTTTTCATCTTTGGCATTTGATGTTTATGTTAAGTATGTATTGTGTATTATATATTATATGATTAGTATTATCCAGTAGACCTCCTGTATACCCCTAATCCCGAATCTCTTCACCATTGAAATGATTAGATGCATAGAACTAATCCAATCTTTCAAATTGGCGTCAAAATGGCACTGAGACTAAATGACTTATTCTGGCCTTATTCTGGTGCCTTAGGTGTGGAATATGATTTTTTTTTTGCCATATTATCACTAAATCACGACCTCACGACCTCACTCACTCAAAGCTATAACAAGACCTGAAAATGTTCTTGAAAGGTAAAGACGTACACCTGAGGTTGAAATTAGTATAGGTAAATGATCGTGAATAACCTGTCACTGTTAATAACTTCCCACTCCTTCACGGTATTCTTGTGTCAGTCGTTTATATTCTTCCAGTAAAACCAGATATCTATTTACATGTAACTTTAACTGCGAAGATGTTGACATGGCAATATAGATGACAAAACTGAGTACATACTAAACATAAATCGTGTTTGATTCCACATAATTGCACTCGATCCTGTTAGTTGATGCTCTGTGCTTACCTGATTGACGATTTTCATTTTTGTTTTCCATTTCGTCTATTACCTTACTAGATCCTGTTAGATGATCCTCTATGTTTACCTTACTAACGACTTTCATTTGTTTTTCATTCGTCTATTACCTTACTAGACCCTGTTAGTTGATCCTCTATGTTTACCTTACTGACGACTTTCATTTGTTTTTCATTCGTCTATTACCTTACTAGATCCTGTTACATGATCCTCTATGTTTACCTTACTAACGACTTTCATTTGTTTTTCATTCGTCTATTACCTTACTAGATCCTGTTAGATGATCCTCTATGTTTACCTTACTGACGACTTTCATTTGTTTTTCATTCGTCTATTACCTTTCTAGACCCTGTTAGTTGATCTTCAATGTTTACCTTACTGACGACTTTCATTTGTTTTTCATTCGTCTATTACCTTTCTAGACCCTGTTAGATGATCCTCTATGTTTACCTTACTAACGACTTTCATTTGTTTTTCATTCGTCTATTACGTTACTAGATCCTGTTAGATGATCCTCTATGTTTACCTTACTGACGACTTTCATTTGTTTTTCATTCGTCTATTACGTTACTAGACCCTGTTAGTTGATCCTCTATGTTTACCTTACTGACGACTTTCATTTGTTTTTCATTCGTCTATTACCTTACTAGATCCTGTTACATGATCTTCAATGTTTACCTTACTGACGACTTTCATTTGTTTTTCATTCGTCTATTACCTTTCTAGACCCTGTTAGTTGATCTTCAATGTTTACCTTACTGACGACTTTCATTTGTTTTTCCCATTAGGTCTATAACCCAACACATATTCCCGTATTATCCACCTGCCCCCTAGTTATTTTACACATTATCACTGCTTCATTGGAATAGATTTACAGCTTCTTAGTATGATTCTTATATGAAGTAAAGTAGTTCCCAAAAGCTGTTGTCTGCATGTTTGTTTATCTGGACTTGAAATCTTCTTTTTTTGAGTATAGAATCGAATCTGTTCAGTACATTGATATTATGTTTTGTGTTATTAGTAATTGTTGACTTTTGAATTGAGTTAATATGATGTAATGTATTTAGATATGTTTCTTGTATTACATACATACATACATACATACATACATACAAAAACACATTCATGCATACATACATACATACATACATACATACATACATACATACATACATACATATATAAATACATACATATATACATACATACATACATACATACATACATACATACATACATACATACAAAAACACATTCATACATACATACATACATACATACATACATACATACATACATACATACATATATAAATACATACATATATACATACATACATACATACATACATACATACATACATATATACAAAGACACATTCATGCAGACAGACATACATACAAAGACACATTCATGCAGACAGACATACATACATACATACATACATACATACATACATACATACATACATACCCTACAACCCCACACACCACACAACACCCTTCACCCCCACAACACACCTCCCCACACAACCTTCACCCCCACACACCCCCACACCCCCACACACCCCACACACCTCCTTCACCCCCACACACCCCACACACCTCCTTCACCCCACACCCCACACACCCACACCCCACACCCCCACACACACACACATCCTTCACCCCACACACCCACACACTTCACCCCCACACCCCACACCCACACCCACACACACATCCTTTACCCCCACACTCCTTCACCCCCACACACACACACACACACACCTACACCCATACACCACACACACACTTACACCCCAACACACCCCACACACCCTTCACCCCCACAACACACCCCCCACTCACCCTTTCACCCCCACACCCCCACACCTTCATTCACCCCCACACACCCCCCACACACCTCCTTCACCCCCCACACACCCCCACACCTCCTTCACCCCCCACACACCCCACACACACACCCTTACCCCCACACACCTCCTTCACCCCCACCCCCCACACACTCCTACACCCACACACACCCCCACATCACCTCACACACCCCTTCACCCCCACACACCCCACACACACTCCCTACACCCCCCACACACCACACACACCCTACACCCCACACACTCCACACACCTCCTTCACCCCCACACCCCCACAAACACCTCCTTCACCCCACACACCCCCACACACACACCTCCTTCACCCCCACACACCCACACACCTCCTTCACCCACACACCTCCTTCACCCCCAACACACCCACACACCTCCTTCACCCCACACACCACACACCCCACACACACCCTTTACCCACACACCCACACCTCCTTCACCACCCCACACACCCTCACCCCCACATCACACACACCCTACACCCCACACCCACACACCTCCTTCACCCCCACACACCCCACACACCTTCCCCACACCCCACACACCCCACACACACCTTCACCCCACACACTCCCACACCTCCTTCACCCCCACACACCCGACACACCTCCTTCACCCCCACCACCCCACACACCTCCTTCACCCCACACACACCCCACACACCCTCACCCCCACACACACACACACCCCACCACACCCCACACCCTTCACCCCCCAACACCCCCACACACACACCTCCACACACACCCCCCACACCCCCACAACACACCCCCACCCCCTTCACCCCCACACCCCACACACCCTTCACCCCCCACACCCCCACACACACCTCCTTACCCCCCACACCCCCACACACCTCCTTCACCCCACACCCCACACACCTCCTTCCCCCCCACACACCCCACGCACCTCCTTCACACCCCAACACCCCACACACACCCCTACACCCCATGCCCCACATACCTCCTTCACCCCCACCACCCAGACACACACCTCCTTCCCCAACACACACCTCCTTCACCCCACACCCACACCTCCTTCACACACACCTCCTTCACCCCCCCCTCCTTCACTCCTTCCCCCCACACACACACCTCTGTCACCCTCTCCTTCATCACCCACACACACACACCTCCTTCACCCCCACACCCCCACCCCACACACACACCTCCTAAACCTCCCACACCCCCACACACCTCCTTCCCTACCTCCTTCCCCCCACATCTCCTTCACACACACCTCCTTCACCCCCACCCCCAACACCCCATACCTCCTACCCCACCCACACATCACCCCCACACACACCTCCTTCACCCCCCACACCCACACCTCCTTCTTCACCTCCTTACACACACCTCCTTTCACCCACACCCCCACACCTCCTTCACCCTATAGATGAGAAGTAGAGAAAGAAACCCCTACTTATACACTAGATTAAACATTCCTTGTCTCCTTCTCTAGACTACGTGTGAGTGTGTGTGTCTTGTAGTGTCAGTGTGGTGGTAGTGATGGTGATGGTGGTGGTGGGGGCCCCCGTCAAGCCAGGAGGAGGAGTCCAAGGCAACAACTGCTACAGTAGATACCGTAAGTTCCCTTCCATACATCTTTCTTCTTCGTCAGGCATCTAATAATAATTAATTGGTGGAGTCGTAGAGAATTTAACCTGAAGGTGAGTTAAAGGGAGGGATATTTGGAGTCATTTATGGAGATGATTTTGTCGTGTTTTTTGTCGTGTTTATCTTTTGATGAATATTCCTCTCTCTCTCTCTCTCTCTCTCTCTCTCTCTCTCCCTCTCTCTCTCTCTCTCTCTCTCTCTCTCTCTCTCTCTCTCTCTCTCTCTCTCTCTCTCTCTCTCTCTCTCTCTCTCTCTCTCTCTCTCTCTCTCTCTCTCTCTCTCTCTCTCTCTCTCTCTCTCCATGATTTCATTTTTTTGAAGAACTCTTAAAACCACTGACGATAACTTGAGCATTCCCTCTTCTCCTCTTTCCCCTCTCTTCTTCCCCCTCCCTCTCTTCTTCCCCTTCTTCCCCCTCCCTCTCTTCTTCCTCCTCCCCCTCTTCTTCCCCATCTCTCTTCCCCCTCCTCTCTTCTTCCCCTCCCCTCTTCTCGTCTTCTTCTCCTCTTCCCCTCCTCCCCACTCCTTTATCCCCCTCCACTTTACTACCTTTTTCTCACTCTATTCTCTCTCCCCCCCCCTCCTCCCTATCCATCTCCCTTCCTCCTCTTCCCCTTCCTTTCCTCCCCTCCTTCCTTCCCTCTCCCCCTCCCCCCCCCATTTAAAAGCTGAAGTGTTGATTTACTGAATATTTAATACAATTTTCTTTCTCTGTGTCATTTCCTCTTTTCCTTCTCCTCTTTTCTCCTCTTCATCCCCTTCCTCTTCCTCCTCTTCCTCCTCTTCCTCCCTTCTCTTCCTCCTTCTCTTCCTCCCCCTCTTCCTCCTCCCCTCATCTTCCCCCTCTTCCTCCTCCTCATCTTCCTCCTCTTCCTCATCTTCCTCCTCTTCATCCTCTCCCTCCTTCTCTTCCTCCTTCTCTTCCTCCCCCTCTTCCTCCTCCTCCTCTTCCTTACCCTGGAGCCAAACTATCACGTGTAGAAGCATTCCCTGCTTCCTTCTCTCCTCTCCCGTGAAGAAAAATAATAAGTTTTATAAATTTACTCTATAACCAAACCTATTCAATAACTTCCATGCGATATAATACATATTTTTTGTCTCTCCTTCACCCCAATTAACAAACCTCTATGGATGTATTAATTAGCCTTTAGTTATGTGTGTTATGTAGGGTCTAATTATTAACTAACAAATAATTACATTACTTGATTATTATAATATGAGTAATTAATATTTTTTTAAGCATTGTTGTTCTGTATAACTGTCAAGGATGTTTTAATATATTGATGTTTATATTGATGTTTACGTCTTAATGTTTATATAATATCTAAACATCTTTCATCAGTAAGTAATATATCAATCATTTCTCTAAGTTATTCTTAAACCAATGACATGTTTCATTTAATTTTTCTATTAATTTATATATTCTAAAACTTTCCTTAAATTATTTACTTAATATTTGGAATAATTTTCTTCCCATAAACATTGTAATAAAAATAAGTCACTTAATTTATATAATTATAATTGTATTTATTTGATCAGATTTATATTTCGACGTATTAGGTTTGTTCCGTGTTGTCAGGTGTGTTGTCAGATGTACGATGTCATATTTATGTTGCCAGATGTACGACGACTTATTTATGTTGCCAGATGTACGACGACTTATTTTTGTTGCCAGATGTACGACGACTTATTTATGTTGCCAGATGTACGACGACTTATTTATGTTGCCAGATGTACGACGACTTATTTATGTTGCCAGATGTACGACGACTTATTTTTGTTGCCAGATGTACGACGACTTATTTATGTTGCCAGATGTACGACGACTTATTTATGTTGCCAGATGTACGACGACTTATTTATGTTGCCAGATGTACGACGACTTATTTATGTTGCCAGATGTACGACGACTTATTTATGTTGCCAGATGTACGACGACTTATTTATGTTGCCAGATGTACGACGACTTATTTACGACGACTTATTTATGTTGCCATGTATGTACGTACGACTTATTTATGTTGCCAGATGTACGACGACTTATTTATGTTGCCAGATGTACGACGACTTATTTTTGTTGCCAGATGTACGACGACTTATTTATGTTGCCAGATGTACGACGACTTATTTTTGTTGCCAGATGTACGACGACTTATTTATGTTGCCAGATGTACGACGACTTATTTTTGTTGCCAGATGTACGACGACTTATTTATGTTGCCAGATGTACGACGACTTATTTTTGTTGCCAGATGTACGACGACTTATTTATGTTGCCAGATGTACGACGACTTATTTATGTTGCCAGATGTACGACGACTTATTATGTTGCCAGATGTACGACGACTTATTTATGTTGCCAGATGTACGACGACTTATTAATGTTGCCAGATGTACGACGACTTATTTATGTTGCCAGATGTACGACGACTTATTAATGTTGCCAGATGTACGACGACTTATTAATGTTGCCAGATGTACGACGACTTATTTACGTTGCCAGGTTATACGACGACTTATTTACGTTGCCAGATGCACGATGACTTATTTATGTTACCAGATGTACGACGACCTATTTATGTTGCCAGGTGCACGATGACTTATTTACGTGTTCTTGGTCTCTAATTGGTGTTGTTCTCTTTCCTCCAGTTGTGAGCTCCAGGGTGGGTCTCACTTCACTCTCCTTGGCCAGTCTTCTTACCGTCACACTCTCTCTCATTACTCCTCTTCAAAGCTAAGCCAAGTTCTTCTCTCGGTTACTAGTTAGGCATTTTGGGTTCACGAACTTTCTATTACGCCATATTTATCGACCATCGAGAGACAATGTTAAAAAAGAGACCTGGACTATTGTTTTCTTGGGCAGTTTGATGGGTAGCCCAGTGTATGATGGGTAGCCCAGTGTATGATGGGTAGCCCAGTGTATGATGGGTAGCCCAGTATATAATGGGTTAGCCCAATGTATAATGGGTTAGCCCAGTGTATGAAGTCTTCAAAGTTGATACATTTCTGAGGTAAAATATGGTATTTATTAATGTTTTTCAAAGTCTACGTCTCTCGGCTTACTAAACTGAGTATCTAATGTTGTTATTGTTTTAATTTTGTAGTGAAAGTGAATCTACAGTGAGTGGCTTAAGGTGTACACTACAGTATATTCTTGTGTGTCTTAGCAGTGTGTGTACAGTCACTCAAAAAACTATCTGTACTTGGGGTGATTGATGAGTTTCACAATGAACACTGTGACTCCTGTTGTCTCGGTAGGATTGTCAAAATCCTTCGTCCGTTGTGTCATATTTTTTCAACACAATTTTGTATAGATATTTTTTATTTGAGTGACTTTACATAGATTCGTTCTTGATTTACTGAGGCTATTACTTTTTATTTAATTATTATATATAAGTTAGTAATAAAATGAAAGAGCATTAGAATATAGAAGCATGAACTATAATGTAACCTCCCTTTAACGAACCTAGATCTAATGAATATAGTCCGTTATATAGAGATGGTTTCTGATATACCGGAATTTCATTTATCAGACTATACTTTCCTGTATATTCAGTTATATGGAGTTTTTATATATAACGGACCTTGATTTACTGGACTATTCCCTCCCTTATAGTCCGTTATGTGGAGGTTTCACTGTATTTGAATGAAAATGACTGATGCAGCTTAGATGAAGATATATGAATGAAATTAAGATAAATCAAAGGAATTTCGATGTGTGTGTGTGTGTGTGTGTGTGAGTACTTTAGATCAGAACAGTTTCCATTCCTTCCCTTATACAAAGATGTTAACAAACCTCTCACTTGTTTTGTTTTGAGAGTCTTGCTGTGTTTGCTGATGATGTCTCTAATGTTGCACACCTTCCATGCAGAGATAGAACCATGAAGGGGCGGCAGTAGCGAGTTTCCCTCCCCGTGTAGCAGACCGCAGACATCAGGAGGACCCGGGGAGTGAGCCAGCCTTACCTTGTTGCCATTTCTCCCGTGTCGTGGCGGAGGTGTTTGGCAACCATCACATCAGCCAGTTATCACCAGCAGCAGCCAAGGATCACCAGCAGCAGCCAAGGATCACCAGCAGCAGCCAAGGATCACCAGCAGCAGCCAAGGATCACCAGCAGCAGCCAAGGATCACCAGCAGCAGCCAAGGATCACCAGCAGCAGCCAAGGATCACCAGCAGCAGCCAAGGATCACCAGCAGCAGCCAAGGATCACCAGCAGCAGCCAAGAACCGCTCCCATCATCACGACGAACCTGATACTAAGAAGACTGCTGTTGGTGGAGGTGTGTCGTATAGGAAATTATGGGAATGGGAAGATTTCCACTCCTCCAGAACGTCATCCACTCAGCGTTCGTGTGAGAAGGCTTCATTTTGTACCTTGTAAACAGCACATGTAAACAATGTAGACACAATGTAAGGGGAAACAAAGTTCGTCTTTACCTGCATCAGGAAAGACATTAGTTGGTGAACATTTTGAATCAAACAATTTTACCTTAATGACTTGTAAATATTGAATCACTGCAACTTCGTGAGTGTTGCCAGAGAATTTGTATTGATTGTTTAGCTGAAAAGACATTAGTGTGATTTTTGTAGACTGGGTTTGTCGCCCTTGTGTACTCTTACATAAGGTAAGGAATGCTTTACCTATATATTGGAGGCGTTAATCCATTTGTATCCACGTTTGTTTCTTGATTTTGTTGGATATAACTGATACATTTAACATTATAGTCTAAGTCTTGTTTACAGCTGTTAATGTTATCAGCTGTTGGAGCTTTATAAAAAAAACTATATCGTGTACATATCCAGCAATTATAAGTTGATTTAAATGATTTTTATCTTGTTTTTGTTGACTATATCTACATTCTATATAGGTGCTATAAGTTATGTAGTAGGGTATAATTAAACTCATCTGGTATATTATTACATATATCCTAAGGTGCATTTAAATTGATATCATTTTCTCTACTTCACCGGCATTTAATCTCAGCGGATTGGCTTTATATACATTTTTCAGCAAGTTAGCAGACTGTGATGGTGTTATGCCTCTCTGCGCGTGTTTCCCTCCGTCAAGTTAGGAGAACAGTACAGGGTAAAACCACACACACACACACACACACACACACACACACACACACACACACATACACACTTCCCTGGAGGTAACTCATCAGAAACTCCAACTGTGTAAGACTGGAGAATAATGTAACATAACAACAACGAATAGTTAATCACCTTTGATGACCTAAAACTCCATATTAACACAAGTTTAGAGTTCATTATTTTAACGAGATTTTTCCAGTTTTTCACGCGGGCTTTTGACGGTCATTATCATAAGTGTTTTCTCTGGGTGATGTCCGAATGTTCTACGGAATCTGACATTGTTGACATTTCCAGAGTTTGATTGAGATGTTACAATAGTGCATGACAAGTGATTGCGTGTATGTATGCCTAAATACCATTGCAATTGAGTATAACCATATATTCCAGTTTTCCCTCCATTTCATGATATAATAATTCTAAAAAAAAAAAATGATTGAAGTCTGTTTTGTTTATGTCTCTGCCTTAGACGTGTTGGTTAAATTGCTATTCGCCATTTGTGTTACATATTGTAGACCCCCAAAGAAGATTGTTTCCTGTAATCTAAATTAGTTTTAGCTAAGTGTCATTGTTGATTACCAAGTAGTTGTTCTTGGTTTACTAGTCAGTGGATAGGTGTTTAACCGACCAGTCTTCCAAAGGGCATGAATATGATTTTTTTTTTTTTAGACTTGATCGACTGTGACAAGATGATCCACTTTATATAGACGACGATCCATAATCGCATATTTCACCAGTTTAATTGAAGATTAACGTGAGGTGATGATGTTAGCGGTGGTGTTGTCACAGTGGACGCTGGTCTAAAGCAACACGGTGTAACCCGCCCGTTTTAGAAGGTGTGGATACGACCTACAGTACAGTAGACTTTATAATATAGAAGTGTACATAATATAACGCGAGAGTGGGGCGTCTTGTGTCCTGGAGCAATATTTAATGATATATATATGAACGTTATTAATCCAACTAGACAATTTTTTATGCCTTATATTGAAATTATATATAGCAAAGGACACGACAGTTATGTTCCATTAATATGACGTCACACTTCTTGCTGATCAACGAAGCATTTTCTAAGTTAGGAGACTTGCCATGCGCCATGCTGTACCGTATGTTGCATGACAATTACATTACATTACGTATTTAGGTTGTTATTTACCCCCATATCTTTTATTTTCACCATAGTAACTGTATCTAGGGAATGTTTCTTGTTTATTTTCACCGGCATTGCTAAGCTGTGAACGTGATCATGAATAACTATGATCTTGAATCTGCTCGACAAAATTAAAATCAAACGTTCGAAATTATGAACCTTGGAAAATTTTTCTCTCCGGAATAACTTACAGGAATTAATACTCGAGATAAACAAATAATGTTAATAGATAACAAACGTCTTGGGATCAAAATTTCGAACTAAGTTTCTCATTTGACCAATATTCATGACTTCTGACCACTGACCCCTGAACAAGCTGCCCACCGTTATATATAACTATTAATTGAAGACTTTGAGATATATAATGTAACTAGAAGTGAAATTGAAGAATATTTAAAAACAAGCACAGTAATTGTTACGGCAGGCGTTTGGGGCCATTGAAGTGTGGTAAAATTAGTTCAATAAAACAAGTGAAACAACGGCCGTCCCCCTGTCGACTAAGACACACACACACACACACACACACACACACATCCTGATAATCTATGGATAATAATAGAAACAAGGATTAACAAAATTAATTACATCTATAATAATTTAATCGACTAAAATGGTAAATTAATTATGATACATTGATATACATGGATATACATAAACATGAATCCAGTCAAATAAAGGATTTAAAGTTAATAAATCGCTTTTTTCAGGATAATAGAGTTTTTGCTAATACAACATTTATACAGAAAAGAACAATGTTACTACAATACCCACAATACAATCACACCTTTAAACTTACTGTAAAGTCAAGATAAATTCCCTTTGTTGTTATTGACAGTACACAGTGACAAGGTGGAGTGTGTGTGTGTGGAGGCAGGGGGGCAGGGTGGAGTATGAGCGACCAGTGGAGGCAGGGGGGCGGGGTGGAGTATGAGCGACCAGTCCACCTGAAGTTTACTGTAACAAGCAGCGCATTTCCCAACCTGATGTATTGTCATTGTTATTTCTGCTTTGTAATTTTAATAAATTTTTATACACTGAAGCCTTATTTCCTTCACCTTCTATGGGTAATTTGGATAGATAGATAGATAGATAGATGGATAGATAGATGGATAGATAGATAGATAGATAGATAGATATATAGAGAGATAGATAGATAGATAGTCAGTAGGCAGTTACCAAACAGGGAGGTACTGGGAAGGTATTAGAAGCATAATGTGTTGGTAGACCCTGCTGCCATATGTGACCAAGTCCCAGGTTGATGATCTCACTTTCTGCCTCGTCTACACACAACTGCAGGGTCTCAATTGTTTCTCTTACAACACAACATATATTATTTCTCACGTTTGATCTTTTTTTTCATTTTTGTATTTATAGTTCTTTATTATTAATATTATTATTATTACAGTTACTGTATTATTATCATCATTATTTTATTATTTTATATTGTTTGTTTTATCATAAATTTTATTTATTATGAATTATTATGACTATTATTTATTATTGTTATTATTATTATTATTATTATTATTATTATTATTATTATTATTATTTTTATTATTATTATCATTATTATTATTATTATTATTATTATTATTATTATTATTATTATTATTATTATTATTATTATTATTATTATTATTATTATTATTATTATTATTACATTTTCGCCCCCAGGCCCTGATGTGGGTCAGTGACCTGTGCCCGGGTGAGCTAATAACCGTAAAAAAAAGAAAAAATAGAGATTGATCAAGCAAGAAGTTGTTTTAAGGCAACAGACAACACTGAATTGACTAACTCCGCCCACAGCCTTCATGTAACCAATCATCGACGAGATGTGCCATGGCTTTTTGTAAGACTTGCAGTGATTGGAGGAGACTAATGCCCCCAAAGCCTACATACGGGTCTGTAAGTTGCTCGAAAATCAGTTTGTTTCTTGGTGTGTCGAGGTGAACGCGTACACAGATAGTGTGGCAATTAGGATAGTAAAGCAGGTGTATATAAGAGTTAATTCCTTATATTCGTACAGGTAAGATGAAGTGAGGTGGTCAGGCGGTGGAGCTCCGTAGTGTCATTATTATTCATGTCTTCTTTTGAACAAACTGGTTAGGTTAGGTTAGAGATGTGGCTTCATGTCACTCCCAGTCCCCAGCCAAGGAGTCACAGATCGAGAAGGGTATATGTTATATATTGTTCTTACTGTTGTTATTTAGTCCTTAACACAATTTGGGGGTTACTCCATGCAGGTAGATAGGTGGTCGTTAAGGAGTCTTCGTTACATTTGGTGTGTGGATGAGTTTTGTTAACGGTTATATAAGATAATGTGTATTTGGTATCAACACAGTCTAGAGATAAAAGGTTTTATTTGGCACCAGAAGGAATAAAAGAGTTTCTCAGTAGGTAATAGTTTGGGGTAAAGGCCACCTGTTGTGTTGTTCATCTATCAAAGAAAACGAAAAGGTTGATGTTTGTTAAAGAAATTTTTGGGTATAGTTAAGGTTCATCTTTTTAATTTATCTATTTATCCTCTTATTATTTTATCCTCTTCGCCACTGATTGGATCGTTAGCCACTTGGACGGTCGCTCACGTCTTTGTTACGCACTGTTGGCAAGTACTCCACACCCCTCTCCACAACCCACACCCCTCTCCACACTCCTCTCCACACACCTCACCCCTCTCCACACTCCTCTCCACACACCCCATCCCACCCCACCCTCTCCCACACTCCACACCCCCTCCACACCACCCCCTCCACACCCCCTCTCCACACCCACTCCACACCCCACACCCCCTCCCACACCCCTCTCTCCACACACCCACACCCCTCTCCACACTCCACACCCCTCTCCACACTCCACACCCCTCTCCACACTCCACACCCCTCTCCACACTCCACACCCCTCTCCACACTCCACACCCCTCTCCACACTCTACACTTCACATAGAAATTAAATAATTCATATTACTTAATGATTTAACGCATTATTGCTACGTTTTGGGGTTAGGTTAGCTTAGGTTAGGTAAATGTTAGCTTATGTTAGGTTAGCTTAGGTTAGGCTATGTTAGGTTATGTTAGTTTATGTTAGGTTAGGTTAGCTTAGGTTAGGTTAGGTTAGATGATATTAAAGTGAAACAAGGTGAGAGAATAAATGTTCAGGTGTTGGTGGGGGCGACTCAAGGAGGTGTAAACACAAGGCCAGGGTGACTGTCACCTTACTGCCCCCTCTCTCGGCCCCAGGTTCATCCTCTGATACATCACATCAAGTTTCGTCCACCCCTACATGTATACAACCCATATCACGCTTCCACTTATACATACATCTATACATACGTACAGTAGCTGAAACAACTATCTGTGCTGATCGCTCCCAACACATCATGTGTAATTACGTATATTTTTCCCCGTTCAACTTACCATCCCCTTCCCTAAATAAAACCATTGCTTAGTTGTTTATTTTGGTTGAGTTTTTTCGTGATGTTTTAAGGAAAGAAATTGTATTAAGTCATTTGTTACGACACTTTATGTTGTGGTTGGTATTGTGTCATGGTCTTATATGCAGCAACACGCGTTGGATTTGTTTCCTAACGTTTCACTTTCAGTCATGTCGTAGCCCCCCCTTCTGCGAGGTTCGTGATCTTCCATCAGCCACTCATCCCAACCTGCAGAAGGCACATCAGTCTATACTTCTTTACAGTGATTGGTGAACAGTATCTTCACCTGAGCTCTTCACTTCACTTGTATAAACTCCTGTAGAATCTTTCGTTACCAGTTCTACAACATCTTCGTCAGGACAAAGATTCTCAAGAACTATTCCTATACGAGTTCCTGTGTCAATATCACTGTAATTTCAATTTTCTTAATGCACAAAGCTGGAAGTCCACCACAAGTTTTTTTACGTACTCTGTTACTCTCCTTTATCAATACAAGTTTATTATCAATTTATCTTCTAGTCAGTCCAGTTATCTCAGTTAAAATCACCGAAACTTTTAAGAAAATAGAATTATACAGTGTACGACAAACTCACAAGTGATCACCATTTGCTTCATACAGGACAATAATTATTTTGATATTCTAAACAAGTGAGAAAATTTGTGATTCGTCATAATATTTTCATGCCTTACAATTCGGGTGTAAACATTTATAAACAATAGAATCACTATACCACAACAATAGAGAAATATACGACCCTCAGAACTTCACACTAAAGCAAAAACAATAAAATACGACTTCGAGAAAGCAAAGGAAAATCTACGAACCCCTGTCGGTAAGGAAATGTATTATAAACAGAAAGAAAACAGTGATGGTAACTTGAGTGGCGCGACTGACGGCCTGAGGAACACCACCGTCGTTCCTCAGTGCTCCAACGCTCCTCAACACCCTCCTGAAGGTTGCTCTCGGCCGAATCTGGTTACTGATGACGTCAAGCCTACTATTGCCACTCAGGTATTCACTCCGTAAAAAAATAACCAATCACGTCTTTTCTGTGACTGCCATGTCCCTTGGATTAAACACCTTCAGTATTTACAAATTTTGTCTTTACTCTCACTCATAATATGATTTTTGTTTTTAATATTATCACAGTATGACACAGCTCACCCCAGTACTCCCTGTTCCTCCTGTACTAACGCTGGACATTAAAGATCGTAACAGAGAACTAACCGACCACCCGCTAGTAAGCTGATCGTAACAGAGAACTAACCGACCACCCGCTAGTAAGCTGATCGTAACAGAGAACTAACCGACCACCCACTAGTAAGCTGATCATAACAGAAAACTAACCGACACCCCACTAGTAAGCTGATCATAACAGAGAACTAACTGACCACCCACTAGTAAGCTGATCATAACAGAGAACTAACCGACCACCCACTAGTAAGCTGATCATAACAGAGAACTAACCGACCACCCACTAGTAAGCTGATCGTAACAGAGAACAAACCGACCACCCGCTAGTAAGCTGATCATAACAGAGAACTAACCGACCATCTACGAGTAAGCTGGTCGTAACAGAGAACTAACCGACCACCCACTAGTAAGCTGATCTTAACCGACCACCCGCTAGTAAGCTGATCATACCAGAGTAGCTAAGCTGATCATAACAGAGAACTAACCGACCACCCACTAGTAAGCTGATCATCAGAGAACTAACCGACCACCCGCTAGTAAGCTGATAACCGACCACCCCTAGTAAGCTGATCATAACAGAGAACTAACCGACCACCCACTAGTAAGATCATAACAGAGAACTAACCGACCACCCACTAGTAAGCTGATCATAGAACTAAGCTAGTAAGCTGATCATAACAGAGAACTAACCGACCACCCACTAGTAAGCTGATCATAACAGAGAACTAACCGACCACCCACTAGTAAGCTGATCATAACAGAGAACTAACCGACCACCCACTAGTAAGCTGATCATAACAGAGAACTAACCGATCACCCACTAGTAAGCTGATCATAACAGAGAACTAACCGACCACCCACTAGTAAGCTGATCATAACAGAGAACTAACCGACCATCTACGAGTAAGCTGGTCGTAACAGAATTTTTTTTTTTTTTTACGGGTATTAGCTCACCCGGGCACAGGTCACTGACCCATATCGGGGCCTGGGGGGCGAAAATGTAATGATAATAATAACAATAATAATAATAATAATAACAATAATAATAATAATAATAATAATAATAATAATAATAATAATAGTAACAGTAGTAATAATAATAATAATAATAATAATAAAGAACCATAAAGAAAAAAAGAAAAAAAAATATCAAGAGTGAGAAACAATATATGTATGTTGTGTTGTCAATAGTAAGAGAAACAATTGAGACCCTGCAATTGTGTGTAAATGAGGCAGAAAGTGAGATCAGCAACCTGGGACTTGGTCACATATGGCAGCAGGGTCTACCAACACATTATGCTTCCAATATCTTCCCAGGCGGTAGTACCTCCCTGTTTGGTATCTGCCTCTAACCGACCACCCACGAGTAAGCTGATGGCTGGTGAATAATACCCCTAAGCTTGACGACTTGTCCTCACGAAAAATTATTTAGATACTCATTAAATCATCATACAAGTTTGCAATTGGTTTGACTTGTATATAGATAATGCAAGTATACAGTTCACCATGTATGGAAACAACTCGAGTATACAGTATACATAGACCATGGAGGTATACAGTAGAGCTATACAACAGTTGTAAACAGTAAGGGTATTTTAAACAAGGATATAATCAACAAAACCAGATGCTTAGAAAGATTCATTAATATAAAATATCCTTATCAGTAGCCTATAATTTTCTACCTATAATTAACTAATAAATCCTACTTTGTTTACAGTTGTTTGCGTCGGTGATTATGGCATTGGTGCAGTTAATCATTGGCACCATAATGGGGTTCTCTGGTATAACACTCCTCGAGCTCACCAGCCAAGACTCACAGGATATCCGGCTCAACCCAACACAAGCGGCGCTCTACAGTAAGTCAGGTTTAGTTATTTCTCATCAGTTGCTGTAAAGGTAATACGGGTCAGTGAGGGATTAGGATAATTGTTCTAAGTGATTTATAAAGGATTTCATAGGTATTGACCTCATAGTGAAAGATAAGGTTAGATTGTTATGGAATAGTGACGTATTTCATTAACAAATCATCAGATATTTTTTGTTAATTTTCGGTCTCTTGTTGCACCTCCATTACACTGTTTCTACATATTACTAGTATCAAGAAGGAGAAATTCAAAAGACACACAGACTCAACACTGCATAAAAGTCTTAAGTGGAGTGAACTTTCTGTTAATTTGCATAAACGTTAAAGAATTTCACTAGTCACCACCTGCATCTTGTTATCCTTCAAGCCATACTGTGATCCATAATAATGCATTGTTTCAATCCTTTTATAATCACTTGACGCTTCTTGAGTCAATATCTCTATCTTATTTCCTTGATATTTTGAGCTAAAACTGATTCCAACTTTTGCAGGCAGTACAGTGAACATCGGTGCTGCCGTAGGGTGCCTTGTAGGAGGGGCCGTCCTGGTCAGGCTGGGTCATCGGGTGACGCTGTTAGTGACTCTGCCCGTCACGGCGGCTCTCTGGCTCTTACTCTCCTTCTCCCCCAGTGCCTGGGTGCTCCTCACATCCCGCTCACTCCTCGGTGCCGCTGCTGGCGTGATGTCATCCGGTTCTAGCCCCTACGTCATCGAGATTGCTCACAAGAGTAATCGTGGAAGTCTGGTCGGCCTTACCACATTAGCGAGACAAATGGGGGTATTTTTGGTGTCTGCTCTTGGGGGTTTGAAGTTCGACTGGCGACAGATGGGCTTCGTTTTCTGTGGAGTCTCTGTAATTCCCTTCATTGGTCTGTTCTTACTGCCAAATTCTCCTCGCTGGCTCGTTGTCCTAGGTCGTGTCTCAGAGGCTGAGAAAGCTCTAACTTTCTTCAGAGGTAAACACTACGACTCCAAGACAGAGTTAATGTCCATGAAAGAAGAAGTTGAAGGTTCAGACAAAACAAAGACTACTGTTTGGCAGCAACTCGGCGGCCTCTTAGAACCATCAACATGTCGTATATTTTGTTGGTTGGCGTTTCTGAATATCTTGGTGGCCTTTAATGGGTGTTTAGTGCTGGCAAGTTACTTGGTGCCCATCTTCAAGGTGGCGCAGACCGACATAGATGCCTACACCTGCGCCATGATATTTTCCTTCTTCAGGGTCGTCGGGTCCGTAGTGTACATCTTTATAGTTGACCGTCTGGGCCGTAAACCCTTGATCATTGTCTCGTATTCTGTCGCTGCTGTGAGTATGGCTGTATTCGGTGGGTACTTCTACCTTCAGACGACGGGGAGTGCCGACACCCTGGGCTGGCTCCCAGTTACTGTAGCAGTTATCTTCATCTTTTTTGCTGGTATTGGCCAGCCAGTGTTTTCAGTGTTGGCGGGAGAACTGATGCCAATATCTTCCCGAAGTGTTGGTTATTCATTTCAACTGTTAATCGTAATGCTGGGATCATTTATATCAGTTCAGCTTTACCCATCGGCAGTAGAGGCAGTTGGCGAGGACCTGGTTTTCTGGTTCTTCAGCGGTATATGTGTGACAATCACCATCGTTAGCGCTGTCGCCTTGCCGGAGACAAAGGGACGCTCCCTCGAAGAGATCACAGGACAGGTGAACAACCAAGTTGCTACAATATAAAAGAAATTCTCAGCTTCTAACATTTGACGATTAAGACTTCTTACTGACACTCGTCCATGCCAGAAGCTCTCAAAGTCCCTATTGTCAACACTGACTACACAGCCACAGTGCTCAAACACAGGAAGTCACAACACTGACTGTGCCCACGTCATACACTCGCTGTCAGTTTGGCATCACTTGGAAATTTCAAATTAAAGACAAAAGTTGTATTAAAATCTTATAATCGTAAGGTTGAAATATAGATGTTCATGTATATCTACGACAGACATTGCCCATACACAGGTGTTTGTGTTACATACTGTATAGTATATTGTACCCAATACAAAAGATGTATAAACGGGCCAAATAATTTCTAGAACTTAATGTATAATCCGGAAGAGTTTGACATAATTATATATGTATAAAGTGACAGGACGTTTGTGGGTGGGTGGTCCTGAACCAGTGGCTGATTTTGTGTGAAAGTTACAGATTCCTGCCATTTTGTCAATTTTCCTCTCTTGTGAAATATGTCCCGCGGACGGTCATGGGGACAAGTTCAAGTTCATGACTGTGGATAGGAGAGTTGTTTATCCATATGGGAGTTCACGTCTTCAAGGGGGTGTACAGTATATGTAGTTTCAGTGTTGGAACCTTAAGAAACAAGTATTTTTCATTTACTGTGAATTATTAACAAAAAATACGAAGATTTTCATTATTTTTTTTTACTTTCTAACAATTACTTAATATGTTGTAGTGGTCAGGGTTTTACAATAATTTTAGTTGACAATATTCAGCTTTAGATAGTCTAGTAAGTTGCCAGCTTGGAGGGGTATTCACTCTTTTTTCTAGTTGCCAGCTTGGAGGAGTAGTCACTCGTTTTTCTAGATGCCAGCGTGTCCCTATCTATCATTGTGACTCTCAAAGTGATTAATGTTAAAAAATATCACAAACAGAATCGGAACATCCGTTTTTTTAGTAGCATGAATTAATCATCTACTATCCTAACTTAATTAAAGATATTATCAGATAATTCCATTTGATGAATTTAAAATAAGTTTCAGCCATTTTTTTAGGATAAAATATAAATAGCTCACAATCCTTGTTCGTGGTAATTTTATAACATTTCAAATTCCCCAAGTAATCAGTCATTGACTTGAGTGACGGCGTGAGGGAAGGGTGTGTGACAATTGCTCCGTGATATCTACCTTGTACAAGTAAGTACGGTACTCATATTTTATCCACTTTTCATTTGTGTAAACTCAATCAGATGTTGGTTAATCATGTTATTTAAATAAACATTTACTAAGTTACTCCATTAATGTGCTGATTTGTTGGTATGTTTTCTGGTAATGGTAATGAGTGTTTGAGATCTGGAGATTTCAGTGTTTAATCTGGCGTCTCTACTAACGGTTTGTTTTCCTCGGAATTTTCACTCTAACGTTTGTATAACTATAAAAAGCAATGGTGTTAAAGATAAAAGGAAAAAATAAATGACGAAATTATTAAAGGTGTTTACGGGGAATTGTCAAATATCATCACGTGAAGATTAGGCAACCCAAATGGACTTAAAATCCTCCTAAAATTAATCAAATGCAACGATCTAACGGTAGATTTAATTAGTTATTGTAAATTAGGACTTGGTTAGTTTATTTGGTTCTTGGGGGATTCTGAGGGTTTGGAAGATGTTATCAGAAAGTAAAGACAACTCCTTGATGTTTAGGTAAGGGACGTCAGTGGAGTGGGTTCATGCAGTGCCTGTAGGTGTGTCGTGTTGGTAGATGATGAACAAAAGGACTTGGGGACTATTCTTACTGCCACTCATATTACAACTACTGTCATGACTTTGGCCACCTATGTTATCTTGGGAGAGGGACCAGTTCTTGAGTTCATTGGCAATACATAAAGCAAAGGAAGCACCAGTCGTTCTGTGGGCTGGGAGGAAGGACATAAAATTCTCATGAATCTCCAAACGGTCATTTAACTTATTTTTTACAACACAGTGCAGATGAAGGGAGATTTGCTCAGTTCCACTAACATCAATAATGTCATCAGCCTAGATAGCATACAATTGGATTTACTTTCCTAGAATGTGTATCAGTTCATTTCGGGTGCAATGGCTGGTGTGTTCGGCAGTGAGGGGGAGGGACCTTGACAAAATGCTCAGCAACATCAGGTTAGATCTAAGAGAGCTTTGAAATTACTTATTTGAGTAAGGTCTCTAATGGTGAGGCCCCGCTGCTGGCCAAGGAGGACGAGGGTATTGACGGTAGACCAGAGACCTTTGGTGTTGTTGTAGTGGACGTACACTATACCACGAACACCTACATTGTATTTAAGTTCCTCGTAATTTCTCTCTTGGTTCATGTACAGTATACATGCTTTTGTTGGGCTTGATGAAAGTTCTTGAGGAAGTCTGTAGCCAAGGACACAGATGGTAAGTGTTTTATTGGCACCAATATGGCCTGATGACATGGTGGACCTAAGCCAGATATGAGATGACCTGGACCACTGTGTACTGCTCTGCCTCTCTCTCGCAGTTAAATTTACACAGTTCAGGATTTTTTATATACATGTACCTATTTTACTAGCCAGCCACGTGTCCCTTGAAAAGTATATAGCCTATATTTTTATTAATATTGGTCTTTTCCTCAACTATTAGTGCTTATAAAGCTTCTGAAAATCCTACCACATTCTCTACCTTGGGAATTGCACCCAAATAACAGCTGTAATATCTTGTTAACTTTATTTTGCTGAGGTCTCTGTAGTTCAAACAGCAGACAAAGTCTCTAAGGACCTTTCTCAGTATATAACGAGGTTTACATGTAGCAAAGGTCCTGTCATCAGAGAGTAGGTGGGAGTTGGTACAAGTGGTGTATCAATGCCTTCAGGGAGCTAATGTATTACTCTCTCACTGGCCTCACTTTGCAAATGGTTCTACAGTTTTGTGGTCACACAGTTTTCAGCCATTCTTTGATGTTAGAGGAACATTCTTTACTTAGTGAACAAACATCTATGAAATCATACTGCTTCTAGATGGGAGAGAACTAAATTTCACTAAAATGTAAAATATTCTAATAAAACTAAAATAATCTTCTAGGAACATTCATTAAGCAACATCACTCCCACTGCCTCCTTTATCTGGCTCTCCCCTGCCCTCAGTAGATGGTAGCACGAACAGGAGAGTTGTACACGAGCACTGGCCAGTAGCATCTATGCACATCATGTATGATTCCGGCATCAACGTGTAGATAAATAATCTCTCTCTTCTATTTTTAATTTCTTTTACCCTTATCCCTAAGGCCCTGTTGTGGGTTGATGACCTGTGCCCGGGTGGGTTATTCCCAGTCAAAAAAAAAAAACTTTAAATTTCAAGTTTAACCCCATTCATATCAGCGGGCATTCACAAGTCGGACGTTGGCAAGTCACGGACCCCCTACATTGCAAAAAATACCAAATGTAAACCAGTCCAGTAAGCACACGATTAACATGAATCGAAACCTCAAGTTAAGAAATTTTGGTGTATGTTTTGGTGCTGCAGTCCCATTAAAATACATACATACAATTGCTGTAATGTAATTTGTTATAGAGTGAAAATTGTCAGTCCCAATCTTGTGTTATATCAAGGATCTACTGTACCTAGATATGACACATGAGCCTGATGTTATAGATACTGTATTTTATGACATAAGACATACTTTATTTCTGAAAAATGGCTAAAAAGATCAGTCTGCATCCTATGTGTGAAGGTGCTGTCTCCCATAAGCTACTGAATCCCCAGTTGATGTGTCCAGTAGACTAAATTCTATGTCATCCAACTCCAGAATTTTGAATGTTATTGTTTACTAACACATTTTTTTTAATTAATTAAGAAAATAATTACTGTAAATATAAAGGGTCGATTTATAACTACAGTACTGATTATAACCCAAGACGATTAACGTCCGTACGGCTGACACCCAACTCTTCAGAGGGAGCTTAGCAGTGACCATTACTGAATTCTTATAAGCATTATAATCTATTAATGCCATACCTACTACATTAATTTTTAAATCTACAAATACTTGATACAAATGAATGTTACTGGCGGCATTGTAGCCAGGTTAGACTCGTCACTGTCACCGCCAGGCTACTGGGCCAAGCTGTGAGGTGTTATGGTTGTTTTTGAACTCGTGTTTTTGGGTAGACATACGTAACTTTCTTTCATTATTTTAACCGATATACTTGCACACACCATCCTAACTACATAGTGAAAAAGTAAAGAAATAATTGTCCTAAAGGCAAACCCATAAAGGGAAAATACATTTCATTGCACACAAGTTAACCGGCAGGGGGAGCGGGAGGACACCACGCCGTGTTGAAGGGAGAGTGTTGCTAGGGGATCGGTGGAGGAGGCGTCTGTTACCATAGTGAAGCAGGGACTATATGCAAATTACAACTGTTAAACTTTCATTTGACTTGTATTTACTTGTTTGTCAATACAGCAATCTTTGTTGTAACTTATTTATTGGTATTTTTATTTATTCCTAACATTTACTGGTACTGTATATAATATTTTTTGAAAACTATGGCTACAGGAGGAAAATACAAATAATAAACTCTCCTCAATACTCCCTGCTAAAATAGGGGTTGTGTCTCTTATATGGTCGTATGTCTTATATACCATAAAATACAGTATTGACCCGAATAAATAAATAAATGTGCACTGTATATTTAATTACTCATTTATATTGTGAAAAGAAAAACAGTTGATGGTTGGTGTGGACATTCCCATAGTGCAGTACACCCTTTCATCGGGGACTTATAGTTAGCAGACTCGGCTAGCCTTAGAGTGACTTACCTTTGGTTTACTGACCCAACTGTTATTAGGTAAAGATTTCCCAAGGCCCCAATCCTCCCATCCAAGCCTTTGTTAGACATATTCTTACATCATTCTATACAGGCTTAGGATAAAACATCTTTATATGCAATTCAAAGTACAGGGGGTCCCCGACTTAGCAACGCCCACTGCTACGTGTGAGGTTAAACTTGAAATTTACAGCATTTTATTTACCTGATTTACTTTTACATTCATTTACTGTATTTTATTATTCTATTTAATATTTTCTCTCAAATTAAGTGATTTTAGATGAAGGACTTAGGTTATGATATAGTGGGATTTTAAACATTGTTCTGTAAGCACCGTGAGAACAGAGCATGTTCCGCCTTAAGACTACAGGCTTTCTCATGAACAGAACCCAGGGACCCTCTGTAGTATCAGTACTGTATAGTGAACTGAATAAAATAGTAAGGATGATGTGATAAGTTAAATATCTATATAATAAGGTTTACATAAAAGGTCAATTTATATCATAATTTACTTGAAGCTTGAAAATACACTAAGTTTACAACACCATCATCATCATCATCATGTGTAAGTTCCAAGGTACTGAGGGATATAAACAGGGTTAGCAAAGTGACAATGGAAATATCCAATCTAGGTGGTCTAATAATCTTAAAAGTGCTTACGATTAGTTATTGAAATATTAGGTTTTTTTAATGCGTCGTCACCAATAAGATGCAATTTCGTTCAAAATTCTTTTAAAAGCACACGTCTGATTAATCTGGACATACATAACATTAACATTTACAAGCCATGTGTAAGCAGACATAGTTGACAATATACATATCACACACCACAGTTTTAGTGCTTTTTTGTGGAGCCGAACACTGACAGATTTACGAACTAGAAGAAATAACCCAAGTGAATTAATGTACCTTCTCTTCCATGAAATATCTGTACTACAGGGAGAACAAATATACTGTACCCTATCAGAGTACCAGGAGACCACTGTAACGTAAATAGCTCGCACACAATATAATACTCCAAGATGCAAAATATTTAAGTATATAAGGAATGTTCAAGAGTTAAATAGGGCTTACTAACAAGGCTGATATGTTGTGGATGTTCTAGTTTAGTCAGTAAATTATTTGATTATAAAAAAAACTAATATGACAAAATCTCTAATTGAAGGTCTCAACTCTCAAACAATATTTGCCATTATAAGTCAAAAGATTGAAGCAATGCAACATCATAAAGTTTTCAATATATCATTTTAATCATATAGTATATGGTCTTTTTTGACAAAAATCATAATCAAGTATTCCCAAAGTTATTATCCTTAAAGGGATCAGATAATACTGGCTGCCAAATTATAACACAGGTAATCAACTTAAAATAATATACCTGACTAGTACAGTAACTTATAGCTGGCCTCAAACAACATTTCACTTGGTTTATTAAGGACCTGCTTATCAATATCGAACAAAAGTAATTGTAAGCAAAATAAAACTGAAAATATTTGTGTTTCAAATGATTTTCTGCACCAAAGAAAGTTACAAAAGTATCCGTCAATTATGTAGACAAACAATGATAAGAGGTCCTGTTGTAAGGCATCTTTGATTTACTCTGTAGGCCCAGCAGCAAGAGCTACCACTGCAAAACGTGATTCTTCTGGGTCCCTGTCCATAAACTGGCGGCACACCTTGGCGGCATCCTGTAGAGGGGGGGAAGGGCATTAGAGTCCATACATAGTTTTCAGTAGTTATTATTGATATTAACTCCATCGCTACAAGGACGCCACATTTATGCTAAAGGTTATATTGGATCACATCTTCCTACACAGTACGTACAGTAAATAGAATGTTTTATTACATCCACATTCAAAGCTTACTGTACAATCCCACACTAATTCACTATACAATCGGCTATACATTAGGAAGGATAAGGATGAATAAAAATGTATACATGGGAAAGTACAAAAATATGACTTTATATAACAATGCAGGAGACTTTACAATAAATGAAAATTGGAGATTAAACTCTAAATTATTTTGTGGTTGAAGGAACGAGAAAATGGTCAATAAGATATTACCAGCTGGGTTTCACAATGACCCGAGCCTGCCAGAACACAGATGGGAGAGTATTTATTTTGTTCATCGACAGTAGAGTGATTCCTCATCAACACTGGGGAGGGGGGTTATTACGTTTTAGAATTCCCCCTCGGTTGTCAAGGGCCGGGGCGGGACGAGTGAGAAGCGATCCATAAGACATAGACCAAGAGTCCTATTAAACACAGCTTAAAAGTTAGAAATGAGTAAAGGTTATATGTGATTGATCCATGACAACACATGGATTTGATGGAGGGGAGGAACACACAGGAGAGGGTGACACTGCATGTTAAACTTTTGTTATCTTTAGTTCTCATCATCTCTCAGCACACATGTCTATTCATTCCTGGTACTGCATTATTCCCTATTCACTTCTGTTATCAGTCGATGCTTTGAAGTTGGAGAAGGCATATAATTATTAGGGTAATAAATATAACTTACTTTCAAGAGTGTTTCTGAGGTTGTGGGGCCGTGGTTGATTGCAAATTTCCTTCGGCCATCTGAGGACAGAACATTTCTATTAATAAAGTACCATAGAAACTTGAACCAATCTCTGTTGCACAAAGTAAAAACACAAAGCCTGAACCTGTCCTTTGGTTAATGTTTTGTTATTCATATAGTCATCTTAACACAGGAGGCATTACCTAAGGCAAGGATGTAAGCACCAAATATGCAAATTTGAGATAAGGGTTTTCCACCTTCACACATCATGCACCCATAGCTTACTCGAAACCTGTGAGAGTTAGGCTACAAATCTCCCCCAATATTGCTGATATCTCAAAACTCACCAAGCTCATAAAGGGTGCCATCTACCTCAACGAGAGAGACGAAGTGCTCGTTACTTCAGTCTCGCGGTCTGGTGCCTGTAGGTGGTGAAAATATCATTAGGATTCATATCACACAACCTACAATATACCTGCATCCCTCCCGCCTGTACTATTCTGCACCTTTATTGATGTCCCATAATGGTGCTATTCCTAAAGGTCTCTCTATGCCACACTCAAGAGCTTAGATTTTCTCTTAATCATTATAGAGGTTCAAGTATTTCACCTCATGTAAAACTGTAATTTCTGTCTCTCCACCCTACCTAAGTGATCCATTATACAGTACTGTAGATGATCACGGCTGACCTACGTGAGTGTGGAGAATGGCAGTAAAATGGTAATGAAAATACACTGTTCTCAAAACTTCAATGGTGTTGTCTAGGTATAATTACTGTATATATACGAGACAAACATTGTTCTATATACTGTAATATAGGACTTGTATATAAGACATTCAATAAGGTACATTATTGTGCTATTACCCAAGAAAAATACTCTGCAGATATAGCCATTTTCCACACTTGGATTATGTCCCGGTGCCATGAGGTGTTCATTCAGATACTAAACAGCCACACCAAGGGTCAGGGTCTATGTCTCCCACTCCCAGGGTGAAATGATTTATTACAATAAAAGTCTGGTGTTGAGACTGTTCAAAGACCAATACCTCAGTCTGTCCTTCCTGTGCTGACTCTTCATGAGCTTTAGAAATGCCTTCATCAGTTTCTAATGCATGACCTCTTCCCTCAGAGCTCATGGATGATGTCTTGTCCATGAAGTCCTTTAACGCACCATCAGCAAGCTCGATCCTGAAAACACAAACGTGATGAAGCAAACAAAAGCAACGTGGAGATATACAGAGTACTGGAGGGATAGACGGCTAATGCGGCATCTACTCACTCTCTACTGAAGGTATAATGAAACATATCAGCATTCACTATCAGTACCAGCCACTCAGCAACATCCCTCACTAATTTTATCCACCACTGTCACCTATTCACCACACCAGCTACACCATAACATCTCATGTCCTTATCCTATCCACCATCCACCCGCTGATGACCCTCAGAAATATTTTTGACATCAGTCCCTCAGTTTCTTGTTCATCTGTTTGTAGTGCATAGAAACTCTTACTGAAATAAAATCTTAGAAAATATATGCTGTGATAAACCAATACAAAAGCCATTGGATAATTACTTGTCTAAGTTGTTGGCGATGGCATGGCAGAGAGCCACCGTACCACAGGCATTACCGACGAACTGTTTCATGAAGTAGACCTTTTCAGACACCTCTTTATCTGATGACTCCTGTTCCTCCTCTTGCTTGTTCTTGAAATCTTCGCCCTGAAAAATATAAACATCTTACCAAATACTTTCTAGGATTCGTTTCCATTAGTAACCTCAGTGGTATTTCTTACTTGACCACAGTACAGTATTGTGAAAGTGTAGCAGTCAAACAGCGAGTTAAGCAAAGTTTTCTGCAGTGATAAGGTCTATAGTATATTGTAATTGCAAGAATGGGAAGTGAACACAAGTTAGTAGTTTAAGTGAGAAGGGTAAAGTGAAGAAGAGGATGATGGGGAGAGATAGCTACAAGACTGGGGGGTGGGGGAGGGAATGGGGTTCTATGAAGTACTGGGGGTGAGGGGGGGATCAGGCATCAAGGAAGTACTGCACATGTATAAATTGACCAGAAAATGTGGTTAAAAGTGATGAAGGGGACGAGAGTGTCACCAGGGGAAAACACAGAAGTTAAGACATATGGATAACTTGAGGCCTTTCTGTGTGAAGGGAACAGAACAGACCTACCACAGTAGTTATGGTGAATGAATGGCAACAAAACATTGAAGTGTAAGGTAATCTAGAAGGACCTTGTCAGAATGGATAAAGACATCTACCCTGGACAATATAAGGCATCGTTATAATGGATAAAGATGTCTCTGTGCATAACATGAAAGGCCTTGTAAGAATGGATAAAGACATCTACCCTGGACAATATAAGGCATCGTTATAATGGATAAAGATGTCTCTGTGCATAACATGAAAGGCCTTGTAAGAATGGATAAAGACATCTACCCTGGACAATATAAGGCATCGTTATAATGGATAAAGATGTCTCTGTGCATAACATGAAAGGCCTTGTAAGAATGGATAAAGACATCTACCCTGGACAATATAAGGCATCGTTATAATGGATAAAGATGTCTCTGTGTATAACATGAAAGGCCTTGTAAGAATGGATAAAGACACCAAGTCCTGACACCTGTAGAATGAGCACCACATACCTTGTCATTGAAGGGGTACAGGAGAATGACTGCACCAACAGCGGCAAAATACCCAACAACTCCTCATCCAGACCATACACATCGTGGATGGTCCATGACGCAGGTACACCCAGTCCAGCCAAGAACTGTGGGAGAAACGAGGTGGTTAAGACGAGGTGGTTTGAGACGAGGTGGTTAAGACGAGGTGGCTGAGACGAGGTGGTTAAGACGAGGTGGTTGAGACGAGGTGGTTAAGACAACCATCTTCTCCCTGAACTATTAAGAGCGCCGCTGAAAATGGGATCAATGTTCGTGAATGTCAAGGGCAAACTACGACACACTGGGATAGCACGTCACTGACACGTCACTCAGCTAGTCTGATAAGCCAATCAGAATTCCCCCCAAAAGATGCTAATATATCTTTTATTAGTCTACTGAAAGTCTATTACATATGAAGTAAACTCTTAAAACGTCAAAATAATGAATAAAATTGAGTTAAGTGTCAGAAGACGAAGGTGTGTGTGTGTGTGAGAGAGATATGTCACGGAACCATCTAGATAACTCCCACTGCCAAACATCCAGCCATAACACAAACAACTCACGTCATGTCAGCAAAATCGACCACAACAAACACGATCCATCACGTCACACTAAACGAGGAATTCGAGTACAAGAAATAAAATAATAATAATAATAATCAAAGCTAAAAGACAATGCATTATCGACAAGGAGAGAGAGAGAGAGAGAGAGCGAGATGAAAGACGTATCTAGGAGCGGAGAGCCACAACGGTGAGTCAGCCAGCCAGCCCCCCTCGCCACCGCCCTTTCCAGACGCCGGAGGATGGGGGCAGAAGGGGTGGGTCCGGACACCCCACGACTACACACACACCTTCAGACAACACCATATTCTATTTACCTTCAATCTTATCATTATAATCCCTCCCCACCCCATCCCCCCAAAAACATGATGTATATATATTTAGCAAGTGACTCACCATACATTAACCATAAGTGTTACCAAAGCGTCGGGAAAACATTGGGTTAAGCTTCGTATTGGGATGATAGAGTAAGATAGAGCTGCAACATGACCTAATACTTGAATAGAAACGGTAAATAGGATTGAATAAACCTCTTACGTGAACTAAGTCCAGCTTAGGTCAACACTACAATGGGTAATGGGATTTGCCGGGATGAACGTCTTTACGGAAATAGACTTGTTTACCTCAGCTACCCTCAAAGCACTATTATTATCAGGTAGAAACGTGTCCCGTGTGTGTGTGTGTGTAGGAAGCCTCTCTATCTTAAAGGGTGACCCACTGACCCACCCAAACACGCGACTGACTTCTGGGAATGACAATGCTTTAAAAATGATGACTCGTGATTTGATTGGCTGACATAATTAAAAGCGTGTGATTTTGATTGGCTGATTTATTACCTGCTCCAGGAACATAAAGCGGACACTGAAGGGTCAAGACGCACCTGGCGCTGCTCAGCAGCAGCCACGTCAACTGTTATGTTGGCCCATACCAACTCCCTCCCCTGAACCCTCCTCCCCACCGGAATATCAACAAGTTCTCGCCAGAAGTTACTATTCCATTTGGGAAAGGAATGGAACCAGTGTTGAATAGTGGTGAACAGTGCTTAAGTCAGTGAAAAACAACTCGGCAGTTGAGTCTTACCCAAGCTAACCTTCACACAGTGAGGTCCCAGGTACCCAGTGGTAATTCCCCTGAGACTCCACGATAAAGAGGCCGGGGACCACACCTCACCCACTTGAGTGAGTGAAGTCGACCAAGTGGTGTCCCCATGATGCTACGACACCACGTAGTGAATGAGTTGCTACAGCATCATGTGAGGTTCCCCATAACACCATCTGTGAGGGAATTACTACACCACGTGATGCCCCTCATACACCATCTGTGAGGGAACTACTACTCCACGTGATGCCCCTCATAACACCATCTGTCCAACACCTCAGCTCACATAATCTACGTGACCTCCGCTGTAAACATTAATTTGTATGTTCACTGTATATTCCTTCACCTTTCTCTAATGAAGGCTTTTGTTAAACCACCAATGTATGTAATAAGTCTTTATGTCCAATGTTAATTTTCAGCCTTCGGGGTACAGAACTTTTTCAATAAACCGTTTATTATTATTTTTGTTATTGTTATTACACCTCTATTCAATACAACGGTAATAATTTCCTCCGTTGAAATATTTAATACAATTTATCCTTTCGTAAGCTGTGAAAGGTAAGACACAGAACACACTAGTTATTGACTATGTTGGGTGTAAGTCAGTGGTCACTCTTCAAGTTACAATATGTATGGCTTCCCACAAGGTTCCGGCCACACTAGACTACCTTCGCTGGATCAAGTATCGTGGACACCCCCGCTAACATACACCAATAACAACAAACATGTAAGAAAAAATGCATTAACATAACTACACAAACACGTCACCATCTTCTCAGTACCCACACACACAACAGGAGCTTCTAAACACTTAATTCACTAGTTAGGCAAGAGGGCTTATCCCTATACACAGCAACAGGCGAGCAGTGAATTACTCCCTCAGACATTACAAAAACAAACACACACACACACTCGTCTTAACTCCCCCACCACCACTACCTCATGACAACCAAGCATCAGTGAAGAATAATTAACATTCCTCTCTACAACACGGAAATATCATCTCAACAACACGGAAATATCATCTCAACAACACGGAAATATCATCTCTACAACACGGAAATATCATCTCAACAACACGGAAATGTCATCTCAACAACACGGAAATATCAACATCTCTCTCCTAAGCATCGCCAACCCCAAACTACGATAGCCACCCACAACCACAGATAATACGCATGATATTGAATCAATCTAGTGAATCAATTTTGTTTCTTCAGCTTAAACAATACAGAGGCGCTGGGATAGTCGTAGAAATCAAAATATTAACTAAAATAACAAAAACCAAATTCTAAGTCAAAATCAATAGTTCCTTTCTATGTATGTGTGTGTGTGTGTGTGTGCACCATGTATGTATGAAATATGGGTCAAGTATGTCTGAAATATTTGCAATGTATGTATAAAATATGTGCCATCTATGTATATGTGTGTCATGTATGTATGATGGGCGTGCCAGGTACGTATGATATGTGCCATGTATGTATATGTGTGTCATGTATGTATGATATGTGCCATGTATGTATATGTGTGTCATGTATGTATGTGTGTGCCATGTATGTATAAACTGTTAGTCAAATTTAACCAAAGAAGAATAAGTAGCTGAGAGAGAGAGAGAGAGAGGAGGGGGGCGGTGGCCTCAGGTGGAATCGATGCCTGCGGGGCCCCGGGGATTCCAGCCGCGTGAGTCACCAACCCACAGTGTCTAGACAACCACTCTCCCACGTGACCACCACCACAAAGTTACAGCCTATGACGTGGCCTATGACGTGTGACCAATGACGTGTGGGCTATTATCACAGCAGCCTGACCAATGAGAGTCGCGTTAGATAAGAGACAATTGTTTTGATTTCAGGAGATGGCCAAATAAATTTATCAGCTGAATATAATTGTAAATATCGATAATTTAACAAGACGTGTTTTTTTGTAATGGGAAACTAAAACTGTATTCCAGATGCTTCGAGAGAGAGAGAGATTCACCACGAATAAACATTTTTTTGACATGAAACGAAGGTAGAGTGTACACCCCCGGTTGCCGCGTACATCTATGAGAAAGGAGTGACCTAATAATTACTCTGTCTGTATGTTTACCTGTTTGTAGTCATTCTTGCTTGTACAGGTAATATCACAAGCACTTCCCTAGCTAGGAATTTTAAAGTTGGACACAATGGTAATCAAGTGCTTTAGGGTAAACGAAAGGGAACACTCCGGTCATAATATGGGAGGTCACTGTACACTGAACGTACCAAAAGAATCTAAATTAAAGTAAGAAATGTTTAAATATGGCCAAAGGGACAAAAAAAAAACAGCATCCTCCCGTGTTTGTTCCAGTATAAATGTGGTCACGATAACTACATGTACAGTATAGCCACCCCAAGTACAGTGTACGTGTGTGTGTGTGTGTGTGTGGTGTGTGTGTGTGTGCGTGCGTGTGTGTGTGTGCGTGCGTGTGTGTGTGTGTGTGCGTGCGTGTGTGTGTTCCCGGTAGCAGCAGCACACGTCTCATTCGCTAACTCACAACAACGATCGAATATTGTATGTTATTTACCTTGTGGGAGTTCTCAGCCTTCCTGTTGCCTGATATACTAATCCCTATCTTGATGTACCTCCCTCTGGCTTGACCTACCCTAACCCACCTCCCGCTGGCTTGGACTCACCCAACCCACCCACCCGCTGGCTTGGACCTACCCTAACCCACCCACCTCTGGCTTGGACCTACCCTAACCCACCCACCTCTGGCTTGGACCTACCCTAACCCACCTCCCGCTGGCTTGGACCTACCCTAACCCACCCACCCTCTGGCTTGACCTACCCTAACCCACCCCTCCCTCTGGCTTGGACCTACCCTAACCCACCCACCCTCTGGCTTGGACCCACCCTAACCCACCCCTCCCGCTGGCTTGACCTACCCTAACCCACCCTCCTCTGGCTTGGACCTACCCTAACCCACCTCCCCGGCCTTGACCCCCAAACTCCTCTTTCTTGACAGCCTACGATACACCACCGTCCTGAAACACTGATTATTTCTCGATTACCAACAGAGCTATACCACACACACACCACACCCTCAACCAACAGAGCTATACCACACCCTCAACCAACAGAGCTATACCACACCCCCAACCAACAGAGCTATACCACACCCCCAACCAACAGAGCTATACCACACCCTCAACCAACAGAGCTATACCACACCCCCCAACCAACAGAGCTATACCACACCCTCAACCAACAGAGCTATACCACACCCTCAACCAACAGAGCTATACCATGACTTCAACCAACAACAGAGTCCCCACACCAACCAACAGAGCTATACCACACCTCAACCAACAGAGCTATACCACACCAACCAATATACCACACCTCAACCAACAGAGCTATACCACACCTCAACCAACAGAGCTTATACTCACACCTCAACCAACAGAGCTATACTAATAATTCTCAACCAACAGAGCTTATAATACCACAATTCTCAACCAACAACAGAGCTATACTAATAATTCCCCAACCAACAGAGCTTATACCATTAATTCCTCAACCAACAGAGCTATACTCACACCCTCAACTCAACAGAGCTATACCACACCCTCAACCAACAGAGCTATACCACACCCTCAACCAACAGAGCTAGTACCACACCCTCAACCAACAGAGCTATACTAATACCCTCAACCAACAGAGCTATACTCACACCCCCAACCAACAGAGCTATACCCCCCAACCAACAGAGCTATACCACACCCCCAACAACAACAGAGCTATAACACCCTCAACCAACAGAGCTATACCAACAGAGCTCAACCAACAGAGCTATACCACACCCTCAACCAACAGAGCTATACCACACCCTCAACCAACAGAGCTATACCACACCCCCAACCAACAGAGCTATACCACACCCCCAACCAACAGAGCTATACCACACCCTCAACCAACAGAGCTATACCACACCCTCAACCAACAGAGCTATACCACACCCTCAACCAACAGAGCTATTAATCTCAAACTCATCTGTCTAGTGAAAAACTGGCACTGGCCTTCATCTCACACGTGAATAAGTGTGTATAAATATGTATAAAAGTTCCATTATCATTCATGTAACGTGAATTTAGGAATGTGTGAGCGCTGGTGTTCAGGCAGGTGGTATGTGTACACCTGTCAGTCCACGTTCAGTAATCAATATCTTGGAGACTAATGTTCTGTTCGGCGCCACAAAACACCCGCGCCCCACACACACACATACTGAAGGGATTAATCTACACAACGTACAGCAGGATACAGTTCTAATCGCTGGGAGTACCTGAAAGTTTAAAATTTATTTCTACAACACCAAGCAGACCTGTGTAACCGTGGTTAATCCTTAGGTAAAGTAAGCTAGGGTGGAGAATCTTCAGTTGATTCGTGAGTTTTGTTTATGAAATCTATATTCCTGGGGTAATTTTTTTTTATCCACAGGAATATATTGTCCAGTTGGTTAGACTATTGGGGTAGATGGAGGTTATAACGGTATGTCAGTCGGCCGCCACCAGGTGTTCGATTTCTTTAAATAATTAATCAGTGAAGGTGAACGGAGGCAGACAGACAGCAAACACGATTGAGCAACCACGTGACTCTTCCAAAACTAAAGCTTCATTATCCCTCCAATTAGATGTTATCCTTATCCCGCCTCTAAAACTATAACATCGCAACGCTTCATTATCCACATGAACAACACACGTTCAGTACATGACAGGCACAGCTTCAGTTCCTGTCGCTTTGCCGCCCACACAAGCCATCAATCTAAACACGCCCACCAAACTGAACTATTCGTACACTTGTATATAAAGCTAAATGTTATAAATACACTAAGTCCTTGAGGTACACATATGTCCTGCTCCCCCCCCCCCTCAATCAATACCTTCTAGTGACGTCAGTTAGCGTATTAAAACCTTGGCTAGTCATCTGATGCCCCTCCTCCCCACATTACACCACGTTCTGTTTATAAACACATAAGAACAGGTGAGAATTTTCGTGTTAACTTTAGACTGGGATGGTGAGTTATGCCAGGCTTGCTCCACTCCCTACACGTGGTGGATAAGGCAATCGAGGTATCCAATAGTAGTGCTACACGATGCTATTACACGTGGCGCCCAGTAGAAGGTGCATGGCGTGGCGGCAGTGGTATGAATGCGGCAAACGGCACAGTATAATATTCTCAGAAGTTCCCACCCACACCCTCGAGTGCTAGGTGTTGACAAGATGAATAATAAAACTCCTACATATTCGATTAAACTTTTAAAATTCTCTTAGTATTTCTCTTGTTTTTCCTGTCAGTGTACCGTAGCTTATTCCTAGCATTCGCCTATAACACCACACTTCAAAGGCCTCCAACCTCTTTCTTAAAAAAAAGGAGTTTATGATCGGCTTATTACTGGACACACAATAATATTTATACCCACCATCTACAGTACTAAATCATACTCAGCCTGGTATCAGCACGACCACACTAAAAGCAAGAGATATTTGTTCTTTGGTGTGGTAATGTGTCCAGGTATGTGAGGAATGTGCCGCCACAGTGGATGATATTCCTACCTCCATGACTAAAGCTAAACTATCGCTGACATAATCAATACTATATATACTGTACTGGGTCTGGTGCGTCACTGGTCACTCCACCTCGTCTAGCTACTCCACAGAAGCACTTGTATAAATTCAAGATCTCAACAAATTCGTTTTAAAGGATTGTGTTACGACTAAGGAGCCATGATTCATTCCTCAAAATTTTTTTAACATACACGACGGTTCTTCAGTAGATGTCTATTGAGACCAATGGTACGGAATGGTAACAAGAGCAGGATATTTTATCTAAGTACTATACTGTTCCTGATATACAAGTCCCACCGTTTGACCCAGTTTTAAAACACTTCAAAGCGTACTGTACAGTAGAGTATTATGAACTTTTTGTCCAACTCTAAATATTTTTTAACGTGTCTCCTGTATGTGAGCCTTGTCTCACTGCCATACAGCAGGGTGAGGAGGACCACTCCATGGTAGAGGAGTAGCTTTGTTGATCGTGTTAACTACCCACAGTACAAGACATGAGTATGGGGGTACTGTGTGCCAAAAGTTTGAAACACACATCTGATCAAATGTTGGAGCTCTTCATTGATGCTCACGATGGTGGGGACACACACACACACAGTTAATACACTGAAGTGAGGACTGGACAGCCACAACAATACTCTGGAACATTATGTACCATAATCCACTGCACTTCAGGGTCTTGAACTTCTCAGGAGGACTTCCTTTATGCTGTTAATGGAATTTCCTCATTTATTATTGATGCCGTCACTCACCAGTATGACTGTTACACTGCAACAAAACTGGTTCATACCAGACTGTACACTCTCACACTGCAGGAAGTATCTATAAGGTGAGGTCTGATGGACACTACAACTCCTGTTGTCTCAGAAGGGTTGGTAAAATCCTTCAACCATTGTCATATTGTCAAGCAAATTATCTTACAAGATACTATTTGTAGGGAGTGTATACCCACCAAAAAAAAAGTGCTGTCAGACCTCCCACCCATCCATGAACCCTGTGAATCATGTCTCTGTGAATCCAAGACATCACACATTATTGGATCCACAGATGGGGCACTGTGTGAGGTCTCAGATTCACAGGTTCATGATTCACAGGGTTAATGGATGGGAGGGAGGTCTGACAGGACATCTTTACTGGGTATACTAACTGGCACCCTCAACACATACCTTTCCTAGGGAGTCACTTACACCGCTGCATGCTTACCTTGTTCATAACCTGGAAGTAAAGAAAATATACATTACTGACATGGAATTTTTTTACAAAAAACAAATTGTTACTCAATGTAGTCAATTGCATAGTTATGTATTGATTTCATTGATATTTTTTTACTAGGTAACTGCTTAAGCTATGTGAAGCTAGATTTTTGGGGGAACTTTGATTTAAATAACTTCAAAATGTGGATTCAATGTACAGTGCACAACTAAATGGAAAATTAACACAACTAAGTGGACATACTGCTCTGTGAACCAAGTGTGGGTATGAAAATGCTTTCTTTATAAGTAACAGAGGAATAGTCTAGCAGTTATCATGCCAAATTTTAACTCCAGGGAAGCTCGGGTACAGTACTGTGTGTTATTTAATGACTGGAGAGGGAGAAAGGGCGTTGTGATTCATCTTGCCATAACCAAAATGATAAACTACACTGCATGACAATATATGTCCCCTTCAAACAACTTCCAGAAGGTGAAATTTTATCAAATGCAAAAAGTAATTGAATGTGCATTATCAATATTACCCTATATATTGTGTGCTAACTCCTTCACCACAAGACACTACATTTAATAGTTTATTTGGCTAACACCAGACGATTGTATTCAGAACAGAGACCTACTCAGAATTGTGTAACGAGTGGCAATGAAAACAAAAAGTGTCTTCTAGGTGGCCAAGTTTGATCAATCCCAAACCATATAGTGTGTACAGTACAATATTTGTTCAATTATCTCCTATACTTGAGCCAAATGTGGTGGTTTCTAGAACATACACAGAACAGAAATAAAACATTGAGGAGAGACAAGCAGATATCACAAATGTCTTCTTCTTTAATGCACAATACTCATAAAAGTAAATGAAAAAGAGAATAAACCCGCAATTGAGGATTTGTTGTAAAAAAATTCAACATTATGGATGACAAACAACATTGCCAAGTCAAAGAATGAAGTAAAATCACCAACTATAAATGGTATGGAAAAAAAATGGCTACAGTATATCAATGCCTTTGCTATTCGGATGCCACTTTTAATATTTTATTTCACTAATGCCAGATGATTTTATTATGCACAGAGGAAGGGAGATGATAGCACAGTATTGTGTGGTGTTATTTCCTCTCTCTCCAGTAACTCCAATTAAAAAACTCGCAGGTACTTCCACCTCATGCACCAATCAACAGTGCTTCTGGGGACTTAATTAATGACTCTTTTGCTTCATTAAAATATCATATCAATATAGTATAGTAGTCCATTTAATACTTTATGTCTAACCCTGTAAGAGCTATTTCCTGGACATTTTCTAGTTACAGTTTTGTCTTGAAAAAGTGAAAATGTGTTTCAAAATTGTATTACTTTGTTTGTATAGGTAAAAAGTATGAGATTCCCATTTCAGGTATATTCATATTTCTTGTAAATCATAAGATTTAGTAAAAAAAAAAAGGTTTATATCAAGAAACAAACTTTTTAAAAATACAACACTGATATAGTACTGTACTGATATTTATCCACCTCTAATGTTTCTTATGGGCCAAAACTAATTTAGAAGTATGATAGCTATACAGTATTGAATAATATTTGGTTTGATCATTTAAAGAGTCAATGAAAGGAGTGGCAGACTTCTCCTCAGCCATGTTAGTACCACTGGAATGGGAATCTGCCACACACCCATGACATTATTTCACTGTTCACTAATATTTTTATTTTATGAACCAACGAAGGGCCAACAAAGTCTCTATACCAAATTTAAAAAGATTTACCCAGTAGTTTCCGAGTTATGATGATTTAAAATAATAATGTACATTTTTAGGTCATTGTGAACTAGACCTATGGGTACTACTAGCAAAATTTGTGAGTGTCTTAAACCAAACCAGGTTATGAAAGCTCCAACAAATATATTTAAGTGAATTTTAAAAGCTTAGGATGAGATAACACGCATAATCTGTGGTCCAGACTGATAACAAGGTATAAAAACACCCAAGAAGAACTCCAAGTCCGTCCACACCAGACCTATGAGAGGCTGGCAGTCACCACACCTCCAAACTTCTCTTCACTTCTAAACTCCAAACTCTCCATCATGACTATACCTTAAGTATATATAGCAGGTGAAATTAAAGAATATATTTTTTCTTTAATTTCTCACATATTGCCCGAAATAAGAAAAAAAAATGGGAAAATCAGATAACTGGACGATTGATTGTCTGCGTGGCGATGTGAGTTACGAGTCTATTTACCCGCACGAGTTTGAAGAGCAATTCATGTGGTGAATGTTGGGACGACTTGCCAGGTCACTTTCAGCCACACACACCTCTAGTACACCACACTTTAGTAAATTTCACCAATGTCATTCTATTTGTCAAAACCCTCGTTCTTGCCTCGTGGGGTTATTTAGCGCTGATTTACATACTCGAACCCCTTACGCATAATTTCACTCGGGTGTACTTTAATAACAAAGCTAAAAACATCAATGATCATTTAACAGTATATACATTTCTTCCTTGATCTACAAAAGGCTTTCACTCTTAAAAAAAAAATCGTAAATTGGATCATGGAAAGAAATATTAAAATCCTACACAACATATTTCATCGACAAATTTTGCTATACAGGTACACAATGATTTTTATAAGCAAATAGTATACCTAGTAATAGGAAGTACACAAATTAGAGAGAAACTAGACCCCAAACACTAAAAAACGCTGTGTAATGTTTATTTTACTCATTAAATAAAAAAATAAAGAAATTTTCATTGTATATAGATTATAAATAAGAAAAAAAACACATTAAATCCAGTGTATTGAGAAGTAGAGAGTTTCCTAAAGTGATGTAAATGAGTTTGTTAATGAGCTATTATAAACTGTTACCCATTATATGATTAACTATATATTGGTAATAAAACACAACCTAACTTACCCTATCTTAGGTTAGGTGGATCAGGTCAGTTCACGTTATCGCTTATTAAGTCACAACAACTACCATTTACAGGTATAATTTGTTCCAATAGATGAAAAACTTCACAATAAAAAACACCAAATTAAAAAGAACTGTTGTTAGACCTATACTTAGCGGACTATATGGGAGAATACAGTCCATTACATCAAGGGTCATTGGATGGGAGACCTGACCTGACCTGACCCAACCATTACAAGTTTTCTCCAGGCACTTAAGTTCCCTCCTGTATGAACAATTGGACAATAATCATAAAAATTTAATAAATATATAAAATCATCAGTGCTGGATTAGGTGACTTATCCTTGTTTCTTATTTGAAATTTTATTAATACAAATGACAAATATATAGTACAGGTGTTATAGTTTTCTCTTTATAAACATCTAACGAATCTATAATCACCATTTTATGAGGTAGAATACTTCAGACTGTTGTAATGCTTTGTGTGACACCTGCAAGTTTAATAATGCTTTTCATCTTTGTATGGGAAGTATGTAATAAAACCACTCAAAGGATCAATAAATCATGATTATATATACCTAACAAGTTCTCCTATTGTGGGATTTAAGTCCAATATTATACGTAGAATAATATAATTTAGCCCAATTTCCTCAAACTACTGTACAATCATGACAAAGAAAAAATTAAAAACTCTTAATATCAATGAAACTTTGGAATATAACGATAAAAGAATATTATAACTTACCGCTGGGTTAGATTCGAGTGGTAGCCAACGAACCATCTTGTTAAGGTGTGGTAAAGTGTTGTAACGAGTTAACTGAAGGAGAGACAGAGGTGCTGGGTCCTGCCTCTGTGGTGACCGGTAAGCTTCTAGCGCGTTCTGCTGTTTGCTGGGTGGGTCGTCGCTTACTCCACTAAAGCCTTTCCTTAGTTTTATTAATATATTATCCAATTTGTCTATTTAATTCATATATTTTCTATTCCATCTAATATATTTGTTAAATTTCTGTTTGGTGATTCTTAACCTAATCAATCTAACTTAATCTAACTAACCTAATCTAGCTATAAAACCTAGGAACTAAATATAACCTAACTTACTTTATTCTTCTATACTTTCTTTAGTTTCCTCTACATTATTTTACTATCTAATCTATCTATCTAATTCATGTCTCATTCATTTATTTCTTTTGTATTATCAAAAATTATATTACTTTAGTTTATCCTCTTACAAAGTTTTCCCTCAATTTTCTTTCTTTTATTTACTATTTAATTCACATACGAACTCTAATTTGTTTATCTAATTCGTCTATCTTATTTATCTTCAATCCTTCAATATAATTCTATCTATTTCCGTATTACAAAAATTAGTTTAGGCTTTTTTCCTCCATTTACTTCAATTTTCAATCTCATTCATCCGTTTTCTGTTTTAATTTAATGTTTTTATTATGAATAGTCTGTTTATGTTTACTAAATTAAAGGAAAATTAAAATGTTTAGGTTTTAATTAAGATTTAAATGTTTAAATGGCGACGGTTCTTTTAATAAATGCTGCCTTTAAATGTTCTCCAGTTAGAGCCTTTCGTGTCCCCAGTTTTTATCTGATATCTACATAATTTATCTATTTTTTCTTAAATTTTATATATTTTTGTGTATTATATCTTTATATTATTGAAGATTAGTTATTGATTACTTAGTTTAAAGGAAGCTTATGATAAAATACCCTTTAAATCTTTAAATTGAGACTGAGCGTTAAAAGACATGAAGCCAAAGGAACAACATATATTATAGATTATTAAATTTCATTGCAAATATAATTAAACCTATAATATTAATAAATATATGTTATATTTCAAGGTAATTTTATAAATAATATTTTTTAAACTAATTTATGTGTATTTGATGTGATAAATAAAAAGAAGTTCGACTGGAATGGATCATTTTCTTTTAAATCACTAGATAGAGAAGCATATTTGAAATCATTTACTATCGTTTGTTTTAATGATCTTCAGAGTTATATGGGTATAGATACTCTCTTAACCCTACAGTTTATGCTTATAAAAGTAAAACCACATAAAACTAAATAATAAATATAGAGATATATTTAGAGGTACATACTAGCTATTAAGAAATATATCATTTGTTAATATGAATGAAGTAAATGGTTTGGTGACGAAGCGACGTATAGAGGTGTTCCTGTGTCAGTGATGGGAAGGGCTGAGTGGGTGTCCCTCTTAAGGAATATCATGTATTAACAGGTATGTATTACTTTTAGTCAATGTAATAGATTTAATTAAAGTTTGTATAATATTTGTAATTTTTTTTTGGTTATTTATTCTATTTGTGTTTGTAATTAATTTGTGTTGAGTGGATAAGGATTTTCTATTTAATTTGACTTGGAAAAAATCCTTCATTTACTTATTTTGTTGGTTGTTTATTTTTGTTATATATAATTTTAATTACATTTCACACCAGCAGCAACTAAAAGGTAACTGAAATGACCCTTAGTACCGTAACTGACAGAGGGTGATTATGGTAACAGTCTTCACCATGGGACTACTGTATAGACTCGTTAACAATTATACACTCGTTTAAATGGTACTTTATGTAGATTAGAGGAAGCAGTTATTATTCATTTAATGTCTGTGGCAAGATTTTCACATTTGGGTATTATAGGATTACTAAAAAAAAGAAAAAATTATGAATACCTTACATCAATTTAGTCTATAACAATATTGTCCAGTTCTTACTAGTGTTTTAGTTGGGAATATTTATTTATTTTTTACTTTTCAATTTCAGGTTTGGTTTCTTTAGGTTCCTTTGTTTTTTCTTCTTGGGTTAGGTTAGGTTTACACATGAGGGATTGGGTCAGGTCATTCTATATTATATTAATATTTGAGTCAGTAGTTTTGGTTACATAAGTTTTTATGTGTTTTTACCCCCATAGTTTCCCTTTACTTCAAAGTCCTGCCCACTTTATATGGCTAAAATTGTATTTCTTGAAGTGAAATTGAAAAGGAAAGAAAACTTGAAAAAATGTAAATATAAAAACAATTTCTATAAAGTAAAGTACAGTCTTCTTCTTCTTCTTCTTCTTATTCTCATTCTTCTTTTTCATCTTCTTCTTATTATTATTATTATTATTTTTGCACAGTCTCCCTACACGTATACAAATCGTTACAGAGTTCCGTACTTGGTCACTACAGATTATTTACCCATTTTGCATCTATATCACTCAAAAAACATAGTTAGGTAAGTTATAGGCTTTGGGAGGTAGCAATGGTGACCAGTTTAATGAGAACATATCTGTAATAATAACCTAATTTACAGTCATACAATCATACAGGTAATGAGATAGGAATGGTTAGGTTAGGAATGAATAGTTAAGCTATATTTCTGAAAATCTAAACTGCATACAAGGCTTAATTCCTAATCCCCAAAGAGCTTATAATTACTGTCGGTATGTGAGTGAATCTGCTAATGTTTGACAAAGTATTAATATATATGTTCTGTACAGTAAATTAGCTTTTATTTTGTCTGATTGATTGATTAATAGATTTTAATTGGAATTTACCCAGTGTCACTTTTGCACTCACCGCAAAAGCTTCTTCAAGAGCATTACAGACCTCAGAGGGCATTATGCCTCGTGTCGTCTTAGAATGATTGGTATGCTTGGCTGTGAAGTGACTCAATATTTGGTAATAATATATGTTGCTTGTTTTTATATTATTTACAGGTGAAAGAAATACTGTAATTTAATTTTGCCATAAAACTTATTCAGATTTCTAATTCATTTGGTCATGCTCTTTGACCCTTAGAGTGTTCAAGAATTTTTTGTAACGAGTCTAAGGTAAAATGAAATATTGGTAGGAACAACAATTACAAGTACTGTACTACCCAATTATCATATAGTACAGTATTTACAGTATAATATTACTGTGAGGATAACACAAAAATTCCAAAAAAAATATTTCCATTTTGTACTTATTGTCATATGTTAGATTTTTTTTTTTGTCGCCCACTGCTGCCTGAAACTCTTGATACAGTACATGGTCTTTTGATTTAGAAAAATAGTAATTTCATGATACTGTATTCTACAAAATGTATCACTAATCTTACAGAATGATAATCCCACATAACAGTTCTGTGAGCCATCATCATCATCCTCTGCCCCACATAACAGTCCTGTGAGCCATCATCTTGCCACTGCCTCACATAACAGTCCTGTGAGCCATAACTAATGCTACATGTGGTGCTGTATTTTAATCTGAGCTTAATTAACCACTCTTAATACAGTACAGTGCAGTATGGTTTAAGTTTACAGTACGGATACAGTTGCGAAAATGTGTTCCTACATCTCCTGTGGTAACCCGTGTCTCCAAGCGGCCAACCTATTATGACCTACAGTATATCAAACCTATCCACCAATCACGTCCATCGTCACGCGACCAATACTCATCCATTCATCAACAGTAATATTACTACTGCGACGTTACTGTTTGGAGACACGGGTTACCACATTGGGTGTAGGAACACATTTCTGCGACTGTACCTGTAATATTAATTATAAACTTGACTGGTCTGGCACAGAAAACCCTGAGAGGCCTAATGTCAGGTCTTAAACAAGGCTTTTAAAATAATGTGTAGTAAATTTACAAGTTTTTAAAAAATGATTCGGGCTGAGAGTACAAAAATAGACCCCAGTTGTGGATCAATGACCTGTGCCTGGATGGGCTATTCCCTGTATATAATAAAAAGAAGACAATTGTAGACTTAGTGTTCTTTCTTGGTAAGTGAGATGCCTAAGGACCAGCACCAGTTTGGTTGTCCTCTTTTCACCTTTCTCAATCAGTCGGTACTTTTGGTGTCAAGAGACCGAGCAGAATTACGGTAGAGTAATCCACGTATGTTAGTACCATACTTGAAAAGTTTTATGAGAGAGGGACCATCTAAGTGTGTGTAGGACCTTGGTAGCTAATATTCCTACTAGTTTATTAGCAAGGGTCATCTCACAATAAACCAAGAACTTCAGTTCTTCAGCAAAATAAACAACCAGATCTTTTTCACATTTAGTTTCAGTTAGGGAAATGTCTCCGTGAAGTTGGGATATGAGACACTGTACATTTGTTTACTAACAGTACATCCAAGATGCGTCCTCGTTTGTTTTTTAATTGTTGAATCTCCGCAGCCATTCCTTTGACTCATGGTTGAAGTCGGCAGATATTTTCCTGTAATGCTTCACAGTATGTTTGATATTGAATTTCCCTGAATAACTTAGTGTGTGCTCTGGGTCTATGAAATTGTGCATATACAACAGTGAACACACAGTTGAACATTCAAGTGAGGACATAAGGCATACAGTACTACTAAATTAGAAGAATATATTGGAGGAAAACTGTTACTTCACTCAAACAAGTGTCAGCTCCTTAAGCAATGCATGGTGAGCTGGCTAGTGACAGTGCCGTACCATCTTCAACATACAACTGCCCCCTAGAGTATGCTCGCACATCAACAATGCCTCCAAGCTATGGTAAAAATATGAACTGTTTATACTGTACTGTTGATAAGTAAAGCTCTGACTCAGACAGTGAATAAAGCATCGGCAATCATCAAATCACAAAACCTCAATGTGATACAATCCAGAACTGGCAGCATCACACATCACCACCTACATCATGCCAACTGCAACACCCCCTACCCCCTCCCCCACTTTACACCTCTGGGGAAACTTGACCATCGTACACACATACACCATGTGAATCAGCTCAGGCTTCTGGTACATCACATGAAAATTTCTCCCATCCACTACCAGTACGGAGATGGGATTCCATAGAAGTCCAATGGTTTTAAGGTTCGTCTTCAATAGCTACAACAGTTGGTGCATCAGGTACTCACCAGCTGATGAACACCGTCTTCTCCATTTGTACTTAGTGTGTTGTAATAGCCAAAGACAAAGTGGACATAAGCTAGAATCTGGATTTGTTAAGAATAAAACATATGAAAGGAGAAATTCCCCTACGACCACCATTATCACCAGGTATTGTATAGTATACCCACAGAGGTTGCACCTACAGGAACAACTACACAATTACTTCAACTCAAACAACTTCCTGTTATGGGATCTTGTTCCTCAGGTTCTCTAGTTAATATAAATGTTAATATAAACATAAACTGTACAGTGAATACCACAACAACTGTGTAGCAACAATAAGGTTACATCAAACAATGGCTGCTCCACACAGTAAACAACGCCACTACAACAGCATCGTCAGTGACCTGTGAACCTTTGGTCCTTGGTATACACTCACCACAACATCTCATCCTTCAAAATGTCACCTGCCTGGTGGATGAGCAGCCCAGCCATCACCCATCAACCTCTCTCCAATATCGGAAGACAAACATCACCCGCCAACATGATGCCAGCCCCAGTGGGTGAATAGCCATCACTCGTCCCCTCCACAGTATCGGAAAATGAATATCACCCATCATCCAATCAGTCACCACCCCTGGTTGGTGAGCAACAGAAGTCACCCGTCACCAGGACTTCACCTCAAAGATAACACAACAGTCAAAAGAACAACCAAGGAGGAATATGACAGTCTGACATCTAGTGGTGTAGTTCTCAACTTTGTGTGTAATAATACTTCAATATTTGATATAAAGAGGAAGAAAATAGTCAATACAGAATAAGAAGCGTATACAAACCTTGGGTATAAATCACTATAAACAATTAATTCATTTATGAACCAGGATAACAAAGTCCTCAGCCACCATACAAGATCATGTAATAACCAAGACAAAATCAGTCAGGTAGTGGTCATTCCTGGTGACCTTTTTGACCACTTATCACTTACTGCAGCAGGAAAAAGGTCAGGGGAAAGACAGGACAGCATAAGGTAATAAAAATATGGTCAGTGAAGAATTAAAATAAAGAAATGTTCCAAATTACACTTGAAAATATTGATTGATCTCATGTGACAAACTGCACGGAGTTAAACGACGCCTCGGAGAAGTTCAGAAGTACTTTTACTGATGTTCTTGACCACGTAGCACAGTTAGAGGAGATAAGGATAAAAACTAAGATTGAACTTGAATCACAGTTACTGGGTATATGATTTTCAGTGGACTGTACCCATAGTATCTCATGGCAAGTTTTGTAAAGATTAATGATATGAACCGGCACTAGAGGGACTTAACGCAATTTTATGGTACCTGGTGTCCACACTAAGGTGAAAAAAAAAACTTTCTTCTTTGCAGC